GCTACTGCAAACAGCTGTCGAGGAATCTTCTAATATCTTAGCGAAATACAACCCTCTAACCCATTACCCCTATAAAACGAACCTAATTTACAAAAGTCGGCTGTTACGTCGTAAAAAGAACCATCAGTTATTATATACAAGGTATCGCGAGTAGCTTGAAGAGGGGTATTATTTGTCACCTCGCGGGAGTCTGATTACGGAATTACTTGTTTGAGGAACTTTCTTCCTAATGAACAAAACTGATGGATTGCACTTGAGCTGAATTTAGTGCGGTTGCCTGCGAGGAACTTGTGCAGAAATTACAGCTGGCTTTCTAGAGTAAAGGCAATTTAACACGGTGATGGAAAAAGAGCAATGCTTTGACATCAGATATTTAATTTTGACCTAAACTTAAATAAAGCCAAATTTTGACAAAAAATACGTTAGTTTTAAAATCTATTTAACATTCTCTCTCTCTCCCTCTTACCATACTCGTAACCGTGAAATTCGATCCAGCACTGATTTTAAACACCTGATAGAAAAAATTCTAACGGAGTAAAATCTGGTGAGTGGGGTGGTCACTTTAGCAACCTTCATCTGTATATAGAATTTTCTCGAAACAAATGGACTAAAAAAAATATACTATTGCGTAAACCACAATGCGGTGGAGCTCTCTCTTGTTGAAATATTATGTCTACATCAGATTTAACGAGTGTTTTTGTATATTTCCAACATTGCCACATATATCTTGTTGAATACATTTTCATGAAAAATATGGGACCACCAAATGATTTTCTAATATACCTACCATTCATTCAATTTTTCGGGAAATTGGTTATCTTTTCTATAAAAACATGTATTACCTATCACTCCAAGGTTTTACGTTATGTTTATTTACAGATCGTTTTAAAGAAGTGTATTCATCACTAAAGTAGATAATTTTAACGTACCGAGAAGCGGAAAGCTGCTGCAAAATTTGTACTCGTAGTTTCTAAAAGCCGTGTTTCCGTTTGCTTTTTAGAATTATTTATGAAAAGTCGTTCGCTTGTACTATTTTTCTACACGATTACTGTGGGTTTAGAACACATATATTTCATAATTTATCGGGTGGTGGTCTTTCTGGTATTTTAACGTTTTGAATGCTCCTTGTCCACAGATATGGGTGAGGTTTTCTCACGTATTGTCGATCTATCGATCGATCAGGTGTCCATCATTAAAAATTCTCACGGACTCGTAATAACTGAAATTAACAGTGTCAAGAATTTGTTTCTGTTTTATGTTCCATTGAACGCAAGGTTCATTCTAGTATAAAATAAGAGATGTCAACCACAACAATACAAATAAATAACACTACTTTATTTTATGAGCCTGCTTAGATAAAAATATCAACACGATGTTGTACAAATTTTGTTTTAATATCTCAACTATCGAGACGAATTACTCAGATCTCATATTAGAATATGTAATGTCTTTTAGTATCTGTTCATTTATACAAGGTGATAATGAAAGATCGTGCATCAAGTTTATTGAAAATTTGTCACTACATTTTTTATATGAATTTTCCGCTCTGCTGAATTATTAGTTGCCTGCCTGTCAGGCGTTTGTGACATGCGCCAAGTAAACTTCAATCATCAAAAGGAGGCGGCAAAGTTCATGAAATTTCAAAGCCAGCTTGATGTATAACCTTTTATAATCGCCTTGTACAAAAAAGTTTAGAGTGACTCCTTCAAAACAAAAACATTAATATCAGTTCCGATGAAACCAGAAGACTTTTTGATTTAATCAGTAAACTATATTATATATTTGTAAAAAATAAAGAAATAAGTTACTTTTTAAAAAATTGCTATTTCAGTATTGTACTCCCAGTTTAAAATGGTTTTTATGATAAGATAATAAACATTATCACCTCATTATTACCCCACGACGGACAATATGAGTTGAATAACAAAATACGGCCCTGTAAGAAACCGACCAGTTTCTTATTTATGGGTAGGGATTTACTCCATTGTTCCCATCATCAACTTCGACACAATGTACTTATCATAAAAACCACTTTAAACTGGGAAGACAATACCTCTTGCGCATGTAAATGTAGTGCCTCAACATTTTTAACGTCACTGCTTTAACCGCTGAGTCAATCGCTACATCATACAACCACGCTGAAAGTGCACTATGCTTTTCTTGCTTCAACTGGTTTACCCTATACTAAACGACAAGGACACCCTTAGATTTAACGTTTACCTACGAAAAAAGGGAACAGCTTTTTCTTTAACAAAAGAAGGGCGGTAAAAACCTACTTACTCGGTCATAACTGCCGATTTACATTCACCCCGTCACCTTAGGCGAACGGAGTTCTGAAATACACTATAAACTACTTTATTGATTAATTTTTTCAGACACTCCGTATAAGCAAACCTAAAAAATATTAATGGGTTGATAAACCATCAAATTCTATTTTGTACATTTTAGATCAGACTTATCTAGTAAAATTTTGAAAAACAAATTTTTGGAAGGGATAACCAAAAAAGTTTGTCGGTTTATCATGTTTACAATAACCTTAAAGAATCGATTTTATGCTTTTTATTTATTTATTTATTTTTTATAACAATTTAGACGTCTAATGAGGCAGAGTAATAAACCACAAGTACAGAAATATGTTATTTTATGAAATGTAAGTACAATTTACTTTGCAACATTTTGGAATGACGTCATCTCCATTTTACCTATTTTTTTTTTCTTAATATACGCAATCTTCTTTTCACAACAAGAATATGTTTAAGATGATAAATTTTTGTAAGGAAATGGAGTAGTTAAATTAGATAATTTCTCGAAGCTGTAGTTGTTAGACTGTACTTTAGGGGCGAAGAAAGTTCTGTCTAAATAACTTTAATGTTTTGTTTTCCTTCGAAAATGAAGTTGCAAAAACTTTCAATGGTTTTTCAAATTCACAGACCTCTGAAACAAATGTGAAGTTTTTGTTTTTAGAGAAATATATGTATGTAGTTGCCTCAATAAAAAAAGTATATAGTACACTATGATAGCAAGTGATACAATAATGGAAAAAATGCAGCTAAACATTGAAATTTAAAATGGTTCATGTACAAATAAAAATTAAAATATTTATAAAAAGCTAACGGGTATTATTGTGCTTGGTGTATAATACACTTGGAGTTGACGTAAGTTTAGGAGTAAGAGATACAGCACAACAGCACACCAGTTCTCAGTTTATGACACCACGAACTTTATATGACAATAATGTGCAACGTGTTCTGGTTTTACCACCAGTGATATGATAAGAAAATATCTTGTGAATAAGTTTTGCTACTTGTGTAGACTGACATTAAGCGAATTTTGAACTTTGTTCTGTGTAGTATTCGACATCGACCTAAAAACGTAAACCTAATTCGACTTTTGCAAAAAATAAAAATTTAGACTTAATGAAGCTTTGTAAAAATAATTTTGTATTACTAAGCAAAAGCTAATTAAACCATGTTTCTTTTATCTTCTTCAGCATTCTTGTTAATATATTTCAATCATTTCTCGATATCCAATTGCTAATGGATCGTGTACTAGGAATAAATATGAAAGGTATATTATAGTTATTATATCGTGAAAAAATTGTAATTTGAAGGTGTACTAATTTATATTTGTGTAAAAACGTGAGTATACAATATTTTTATAATTTATATATGATAAACATTAAAGTGTTCGTTTTTTTAACAAATGTATTTTACGTTTAATTTAGAGAGTCAATTGTAATTATTGAATTTCATTTACAAAAACAATTACATTTTATTTTATTGTTTTAAAATGTACAAAGAACGTCGCTACAGTTTAATATTTAACCAAATATTAAATTGTAATTGAAATTTTATTATACAGGAGAACTAAAAGTACACAAGACTAATTAAATCCATTTCATCAAAAATTAAAGTGCGTTGGTCATGTATAAATAAAATGGTGGATGCGCCGGACTACATTAAATATTAGTAAGTAACTCACGATAATCATCAAAGTAATACTGTTGAATATTAATGCGGAGAGTTTGTGTTTCTATCAGCCTTCTTTGCCGAAATATCGCTTCAACCTTACATACATTATATAAATCCGAAGTGTCTGGAATAAGAAAGAATGTTTCTGGAACTTGCTTACTCTATTCAAGTCAGAGTCCCGTGATTTTGAATTATTATACATATTCTTAAAAAATGTATGTAGTTTCAACCTGTTCCTACAATAGCTGTCACTATAAATTTCCAAGAATATGAAAACAGTATAGAGTAAGTTTCTTTTTGTTACAACTTTCTAAGTGCTCTTTCTACGGCATCTAGCGCTAACAAAGTCTTTAATTTTAAAAAGTCCGCAAGAGGAAATTAATTTTCTCCGCTTTTCCGTAGTTGATGCTGAAACATTTATTTGTACGGGGTAAAATTTGCACGCTCATACATACTAAAATCAAACTAAATAAATTTACACTGAATTAACCAAATCGATAACAATTTTTGCAGATACATCTTACTTAACAAGAATCATTCGGGGCGAGTTCGATATTCTAAGCAATTTAGCTGGTTTATAATTTAATCTTATCTGCAAATTCCAAACGCAAATTTCGTCTGCTGGAATGTAAATCGTGAACCATAAGCAATTTGTGGAAATAAAGAATGGCTTGGGTAGCACAGATAATTCTCTTATTTACTGCAACAATACAGAAAAGCTTTTCATCATTGTCGACTGGGTTATTTATTGTTTGTTTTATTAGTTACAGTTCTAACTGCGCATACAAGGGTTACTAAAAGAAGAACAAAATACAAATGCAAACAACTTAATTTGATTTCAAGCTCTGTTATTAAGCAAGCAACTTTTGTGGAATTAAAGCTCATTAAAAATTTAATGGAGGCAACAGGGTATATTTTAGTAATTATGATGATTACAGTATCAGTTTCCAAGGAATGCGGTTTCGTATGAATTTGCTTTCGTTATTTCAACTTTCTTCGTTTAAACTTACAAATAAAAATTACAAAGAATAGTTCGCCACTAACAAATGTTTATTTTGTATTTATAAACAAGAAATTGGTATGTTGTTGTTTTTATTGGCCAACATTACATATTCTAGCAATTAGGGAGGGGTAACGTTCTTCTATAACAATTACGTTTCCATCCTGCCCATGCTTGAAACCCTAGCTGTCCATGAATTTTTTTGGCACACGATGCGTCGTCGGATATATCTTCATTTATTAAATCTGCAACACAAGAAAATTGTTTCACTGTAGATTAATTTTCAATCAGTTCATTGTAAGCTACACGTATGAGAATAATCGACTTAGAAATTATTCAGACAAGCCGGTAGACAGTTCAATAGAATACAGCTTTTGGGTGGATTTAGTTGTGATGGAAGCCTTAGAATTCGGAAATTTTAAAGAACATGAAAAGCTCGTGAATCTACTGTCTCTACATCTGAACATATTGATCACATAAGTGCACAAATTTAAACATTTTTGAATTTAAATATATTTTTGTTCGGACTGAATGAGGCAAAAAATGTTTGTTAGCCCATGAAAGAAAAATCCTGTCTGTGTTCGAACCTAATTTTTGAGTTTTGACAAACGACTAAAAATTTGAATCGTGATACTTTTCAACACAGCAAAATCACTCAGCTTTGTCTTTTTTATGAGAGCATATAAACGATAATCGTCTGAGTCATCGTCCACCAATAAAATTAATTTATAATCATGTCATGTTGTAAGTGAAATCTTGTGTTTGCACTAAATTCAGCGTATAATTCCCATAATGAGTTTACGTTATGGAGCAGACACACTATTTCACGTTGAAACATGACTCGCTTATAAAATTTTCTTGATCACACGCCATATGCCAACCATAAGCAAAATAATGAGCCTTTTGCACAAACTAAGCAATCTAACAAATATTTGTCTCCATAAAATGTCGTTCCTATCTAAATTAAAAATTACACATACGTGCTGTGTCTGCAATAAAGCGCATTGTCCCTATCATTTCCATTCTATATTTTTTAATGAGAATTACCTTCACATTTCACGTTGCATTTACCCCCTGCAGTCTGATATGTGCACCACTCTTTGCTGCTTATCTGCAAAGTTTAAAAACGAAATGAATATTTTAACACAATGCAACGGAACAAACGGATGTGGTCGCACTGCAACACAAAGGATTATGACTTCCGTTAAAACGAACATTACCTGAAATAACCCGAGACCTTTGCCTCCGTTCGCTTTGTTGGTTACTTTAGATGTATCCTTAGCGCTTTCGCTTTCAATCAAACAAACCCCTGCAAAAATAACAAAATATAGCCCGTTTATTTTTAAAAACAAAATACATTTTGACGCGCTGCTACGTGAGAAGAATTTGCTTTTATGCACGTTTTAAATGTACTTTTGAAACAATAAAGTATCGGGAAGCGACACATTTCAATTCACGGACACGCCATGCATAAATTTCGTTTGAATTTTTATAGAACTGTAGATGTTCGAATACGTTTAAATAAATAAACAAAGTGTAATGTGGTGCAACAACAAATATTTTGATACTGTAACTGACTATCTTTTAGATTAAAAAACGACGTCTAGTAATGTAACTTTTTAAAACTGTTAATTAGGTGTTAAAAATTGCACAACATTTAAAAAACAACGTTGCTTTTTGCCAACAACCGAACAAAACAAAGTTGATATAACGGTCAAGGCTGCACCAGGCTACGGTTCCTATATGCGCAAATACTGTTTCATGTAAATTTCAATCTAACAAGGAATAAAAATGATAAATTTTGGAATACGTACAGTTTCCAACAAAGCTCCTCGGAAACCCTTGTCTCAATAACTCTTGTGTCAGACCGCATCTCGTGAATACTTTGGATGAAGTTTGTTGAAAACCGAATACAAATAATACAAAAACTACACAATATTTCATTTTTATTTATTACTATTCACCTCAAAATTCGCACACACGTTTATGTTAGGCTTGGAAGTGCGCCACTGACACTCAGGTTCCATAGCATGTCGTCTTTTAATCGTATTGATATTTACCACTGGGTTTCTTATCTGTTACGTAAAGCGTGGATACGACTTCGTATATACACAATAAAATTTATATTTAGTGAGCCTGGCGTGTTTGTGGTAGGTGTGAAACCTTGACTTCAAATTAGATGAATGGATTACAATTAATTTCAATACATTTTATCTAAAGGGAGACATAATGAGTACCTCCGATTGAAATTGAAGGATACCGACAGGTGTCACTCTATATGTTGCTGCTGACTATAGTCACAAATTCCTGAAAGTCATACAAATTAATAACTATAATTTTGCTTTCATCTTTTTATTCTAGGTAATTTATCATTAATAGAGAACGATATTATTTACAACAACCTTTATTTTGACCTATAATCTTTCAGCAGAAATATCGTTTTTCTTTTTAATTAATAGCTACGAATTTTTTCACACTCTGAATTTATCACACTAAATATATCACTGCAAAAACGATAACATGAATTTTGGTGATACTGTTTTACAATTGTACCGGGGACCATTTTTACAAATGTATAGTTTCACTTTTTTTTGGACGTCTGCATTAGATTGATTCGTACAAAATTTCAGGTGTTCTCTAAGATTATTATCGTTAGATTTTAAAATTGTGTTAAATAAATGTCGACTAAAATTTACATCGTGATTTTATTTTTAACTTTATCAACATTAAAAAAAATGGTCTAAAGTTGAACAGACAAAACTTCCCTCGTCCTTGAAGTACAAGCGAACAAAAATTCCAAACGGTTCTTTTTGCAATTGAAAGCCCGGATCACATCTCCAAGTGTTTATATTATTATTTCAAAAATAATCTATTTAATTTCCCATAAGTTTGTAGAACAACGTACCTACATTCATTGATATCAACAATTTTTTTATTGCTGTCATCTTTTTCGAATTCGAGACGAGTGGAAGTATGTTGTGAGAACGCCTTTTTTAACAGGTCAAACATATCTTCAATGCAGCTGCTAAATTAATCAACCAATTAATTCAACTTGCGCTACGAGCAGCACATAAGTAATCGTCCTCGGCTACGAATACTTCCGGGTCCGTCGTAATTGAGTCGTAGATTCAAAAAAGAAGACTACAATTTTTCACAAAAGAGACTGTCTTTAATTTATTATATTTACAACGTAGAAACAAATCTGACAAAACTAAAAAAAAAAAACTTTGGTGTAAAAACACATGATATATGTATGTATATGTTTGTTATAAACTCCTAAAATCTTAATATTGTAATATACAATTTTATTCACTTCCGCTATTTAGTTATAAGTTCTTAAAAGTGGTTAAAAATAAAAAAGTCGAATGCAAAATCATTTTTAAAAAATATCCAATTTTTTAGGTGTTAAACATAATATTTTCAGATTATCCTTAAAATTAACGTAGTAACGTTGTATTTTTAGAAATTTAAAGGTAGGCGCATACATTTCTAATTTTGTATCTGATTCCGTTATAACAAATAGACCCAAAATATTCTGTTATTATGAAAAATAGACGACCCAAAATAAAGTATTCGTCATTTTTAACTCAGTTCAGTCGTGTGCTGTCTTTCTAGTAACTTTTTGACGTTAATGGTTGTTAAAGGACAATCCACCATTTGTAAGACTGTGTACTAATAATTATTACATGAAAGTGAACTTTGACTTTTGCTAACCTAGGAACTACAGACGAATTCTGCAATTAAGTAAATTTATTTGGTAGTGAAAGTTGACTACGATGAAGAAACGTATATTTCAAGAAACTCTAATTAATCTTATCTACGTCTAAAACCCAAAACTTCTCTAAATGGAAATTTTTGAAGATATCTTGTTTTAGTTATGTTTTTTCAGCTTAAATAACCAGCACGTGTTGTATATGTCTCAAGTACAGTACTTACATTTTAGATGAAAATAACTCAACAGCAAAGAAAATATTTATTTGTTTTTTAACCTTGTTTTAATTCGTTCCTTCACATGAAATATGAGTTTTTCTAGAATAATATTATCGATGTAAAAATAGACCGTAACTAAATACAAGTCCAGCAAAGGTTATTACTACAATTTTAAATGTTTTACAATTTTTGGAAGTACTGCAGTATCACTACTATTTATTATCATTGATTTATTATAGAAATTTCCAGGACTGAAGAATGTGCATGCGATTGATTAGTTTTCTTATCATATGAGTCAATTATTGTTTATTTAGAGTTTTTAAGTTATTATCAATTAATTATTAAATCAAGTTTACACATTATGTTTCTATTAAGATTATAAATACATTTTTACAAGGAAAAGTAATTTAATCTATTAATAAACACCAGAAGCAATATTTTATCAAAACTGGATTTAGCAATTTTCAGTCTACAAGATTACGAAATGTTTTAAGAAATAAAGTGTTATAAATTACATCTCTGTGTAAGTTTACATGACAGTTTACCTAATTTCGAATTTAATTAAGTGTTTTCATTATAAACATGTTATTAATGCCACCCCGAAAATTGTAGTTTATAGTCTTAGATGCACGTTTTTCCAAGGGTTCTTGTATCAAACATTTAAACAACTTAAAAGTAAACTAAAATTAAACTATAGTGCTCGCATTATTTCTCCACCGTAGCCTAATTAAGTCATTTCGAAGCTCAAATTGCCATTTTTGTATCATGACGTCGTACCCAAGGTCTTGTCTGAATATTTGCATTACTTTTATCAGATATTTCCTGCATTTCGTCGGAGCACGTGACCTCCTAAATCTTCCATCTGCACAGACGTACTGCATACATTACTGGGTTGCATCTGTTTATCCGTAATGTACTGGAACAGATGCAGTAATCACATGAAAGTTACATGAAAAACCCCTGCTAAAGCGCTATTGAATTTATTCAAGCTTCAAGAGACATGTTGTCTAACTAGTAAGAACGCTACTACATCTATTCGGCGAATCTAGTAGGTATAGACGTTATAACTGAAGCATAAAATTTAAGTTCAATGTATAAACATTTTCTAACACTTTTTTGGTATGCCAATTTCAGCGTGACCTGACTTCGCTGTAGATTATTATAGATACTAAAAATTTAACGCAACCACAAATAAATAGGTTTTACCCATGGTTTTACCCATCAACTTTCTATTCGATAGAGCTGCAGTCCGCATTTTAATAGTCAGTTTAAAATACTTTTGAATTAAAATCATGGTCTGTTTTATGGGATTTGTGTGTTCTTTTTAATCCTGTAACAAATAGAATCCAAACAAAATAAAATAAACCAGTTTTTCGTTTAGTTTATAATCTTTGATTTTAATAAAGTATTAGTTATTATGAAACAAGAAAAATCACAAAACTAAATTCAAGACTCAGCTTCAGTCGACGTCTAACACTACTGGAAAACTGAGCTTTGATTGGTTAGTTTAACTCGTCCAGGTGTATTATATACACGTAATGGCGTTGCTGACGTAGAGTCTACAACACCAAACCTCAGACAGCGACGTAAGTTTGTTTTGTATATTCTGCGGTGTTTATCAATAATAAAACACAATATTAATAGAACAAACATTGGTAGACTTTATGTTGTTATACTAAATAAGGTATTATTTAGTGTAACATAATGTTTTCGATCGAATGGTAATGTGATCAAAAAATTTAAAAATGGCTACAACAAATTTTCTAGATGACATATTCCTGGTCTGTACTCTAAAAATTAATTTTTCATATTTCTAAGTTCTTCGTTACTTTTATTTATTTTTTTTTATTCTAAGGACACAGCCTGATAATATTAAAATTTTTATTGCAGATTTATTCGTTTTGAATTAAGCAAAAAATGTTATTCCTACGTCATTTTTTTGTAAAATAGAAAATACAGTTTTTTTTTCCTCTTGTGAACTCAATCCGGGGACATACTGTATGTAACAACATCTAGTGTAAGTATATGCAAATTTAAATCCACACCTGTTCAGTAACGATTAAAAATTATCCACAGATTTTAATGTCAGCCTACTGATATCCATATCCATAATCGCAATGTTTATCTTCTTCGAATAGTTTCTACTGAAGAATTTAATGAATAAAATTTTATCTGTAAAATGAGCAAATGTATTAGTTAAAATAACATTAAAGACAAAAAGAGAAGACAAACGAAAAGTTAGTGAAAGAAAGAGACCGGACGAGTAAAGAAAGTGTCAAAGGAGATGAAATTCCTTTAATATTTGAAGCTTTTTAAGATTCTTTAGAACGATGATTTGCAATCATTTGAAGCAACAATTTAATTTAATACCGAGAATTTTGTGCAACGAACAAGACGTTGTATTTTATGCAGCAGCGATTTAAATTAGCAGATTGTTGATTTACATTACTTTTCCTAATTATTGATCACCTTATTTATTAATTATACCCACTAGTATAAATCTACAGTTTTCTGATGTTGAGTGTCATCTAAATAGATCGTTGAACGATCAGCTGCACATTTCTAGGACTTCAGTTCAGAGAAGCGGCTCGACTTTTTGTCGCATTATTCAGGCTGGATTTAGCACATGATCACAATTTATAATGTTCGTCAATGTCTCTCTGCAATGCAGACTTGTTCTATACCATAACAAAAACCCAGTTCACGTCATTTCTCGTCTTCTTATTCACCTCTTTCCGAACAAAATATCAAAGCACACCTTAAGATGACCGTCTCACCAGAGTCCACATTTTAATGCGGAGCCTTCTGTTCTTGCCAGCAAAGAAACGACCTGACGAAATGTCTATACATACATAATAATGGAATTAATACGTCCATAAAGGAACTTATACACTTTCGATACCTTATTAGGTGTTCCATTGAAACGGGTGAGACTCGAATTGCATACATGTGGAAGGAAAGCAATAAAGGCTGCTTCATAAATAACGACAGATCTGCAGTTAACGTCGGCAAAATTAAACTAATAATAATGAGGACTTGCTCTAACTTAATTGCGTACGTGTGAGCCAAAGATGGAGCCCCCAGGAGCCATTTCTGTCGATTTCAGTTTTCCTGTTCTGACTGAATTAAACTCAGGTGTTGGTGCTACAAACTACGATTTGGCAAGCGACAATTAATTTATTTGTGTAGTCGTTGTAAGAGACACATCTATTCGAGTGCTGAAAATTGGAAATCCGGGGTTTGGGGACGAGAAGAAGTTATTTCTTGGAATCAAATTAAAAGTACACACAATATGCAAACAACTTCTCCGCTGTATTTTTCTTCCCGAGCGTGAGCATTTAAAAAAGTCTGTATTGAATGACTTCTTGAAATAACGTTATCAAGATTTTAAGGCGGTAAAAATGATAATTTAATTAATGAAGGAGACATCAGTTAGTTAATAATAATAAAAAAATAATAATAAATGAGTAGCAATACATTTTACGAGATTTTTTTGTGATAATGAGAAAATATCATCAAATGTTCCACAGTTGATGTAATTTCACCAATAAATTGTAGGATTTGATGACTCAACTTATTTTAGTGAACGTTTTGTCCTTACAATAATGTTAAGGCACATTTAAAAGTTCAAAGTAATCAACTGTAACAGACTGAAGACCGATAGAAACAGGAAACCTCATTTCGTATTGTACGACCTGCACAACGTCAAGGAACATCAAATTATACATTTGTACGAAGAATTCCGTTACAATTAGCTATTACGCGGAAAGTAAAAACATGGTAACGTTAAAGTAAAGAATGTAAGAAAAGGAACAAGAGAAAATGTTGTCTCAGCAGGAGTCCCAGCGGAGGTTTTGGTTTTATTATGAGGATTATTTATTTTCTTTAAGTTTCTTTGAAACCATATATCGTACTATCCTTGGGTTGAATCACTTTAAATTTAGTAATTATTAACACCGCTTATTTTTATTGTTGCTGACTGTTAGTGTCCTTAAGATAATCATTTTCTTTCATTTGTGAATATTTGACTCAAAAAATCAGTCAACAGTTAGTAGTGAACATAGAATATACGTCATGTCAAGTGAGTTTTTCTATAACAAAATTTTGTGATGAGGTCATCCAATTTTCGGAGCGGATAAACGGATACATTTTGATTAACGATTAATGATTTACAATGTTTACCATGACCTGAAAACGTTTGCAAGATTTCAAAACATTGGGTTTTCCAGTTTTAATTTCAGCGTTAAATTGCAAAGTGCTTTTATACAATCTGGATGTTTAGGATGAAAACTTAACACGGATTCATAAACCATACGTGCAAGAGTTTGCTATTTTGTATTATTGTATTATGGTGGGGATAATCAGAGAAATTTTGATTATTTGATTATCGTTTTATCATCTACACGACATTCCTAACGTACATGTAAAATTCGTCAACAGTTGCTCCAGTAGTTCGGAGATTATCTGTCTAATAAAAATTTATACGGACGCCAAACAGACAGACGGAAACACAAGACTTATTTTTTCGTACTCATGAAACGTCGAGAAAATATGAAAGCAGCCATTTGTCGAATGGGTCCTATTGCAATACTTCCTTATAGCTGAAGCTCGCGAAGTAAAAAGATACAAAATTATGTTATTTTTTGAAAAATATTTTAATTTTATGAATTCAATGCAAGTAATGCTAAAATTATTATTGTATTTTACAGTTACAGTGGTTACTAAGCATGTAAACAATAGTTTGGAACTAAATAATAAATGTATTTACCTTAATCCATTTCTAAAAGGAGTTTATAAAATTATTTACGGTCGCCTGCACATATTAAAAAATAATTTGGGAGTGTATAATTTCATTCTTGTTCTGTGTAGCTTTCATTTTGTTCCATTATTAGAGAAAAGTAACAAAATGCACGCGTTCTCATTTGACTTTATTTTCCTCTAAAAGATGTCTGTGTTAATATATGTTATACTGTGTATTTGTGGTTTATGGCTCCACCTTAATTTAGTATTATAATTATGATTGTTTAATTCTTCATAGCACTTTAAATACATAATACGAAGTTCGACAAGAGGATGTTGTGGATTAGACAATCTAGTGTCCGCTTTGAAAGGCCTGGGTTCGAACTCGAACCTTGGGCATTTCCAATGCTTTTTTTATTGATCAAATCAAGTTTTAGTTTTCTCTAAAATATAAGAATATGTGGCACAAGGACTTCGGGTGTGTTATTTACGGCACTGGGTAGCATGTACTTAAACATATAGACATTTTTATTTTTTTAAGTTATAGGGGTTATCATAAAATTTTATAATTTTTCGAAACAGTTGTATGCATTCAAGTGTGTGAAGTCAATTTTGACTAAATAAGCTTAGACCGCTTTTTTAAAACAATTACTGCTTTAACAACTTTTTGTCTTCTAACTCTATGTCGTATTATTTTAAGAAATAACGACAAATTTATTTTAAACTAACAAAAGTTAATTAATACACTCGTAACAACATTTATTAAAGTATAAATTACTGCTGTATCATTTCGCCCACAATAAAAATTAACAAAAATTACTAAAAGCCACTGCAAATCTGTATAACAGAATGTTTAAAATTTACATCATTTTTTGTTCGTTATTCAGCATATAAATGTTTATAAGTAACTGTTAGTGGCTAAAACTCTGATTATAAAATGAAATACCATTTAAATTTTAAATACTAAAAGTTCAGTCGAAACCATATTCAATTAAAGTGACAAAGTAAAAATAAAATAGGTATATTTTTCTCAAACTCAAGTTGTTAACATTTCTATAAATAATATACCACGTCAAAATTTTCAGTTTAATAATAATGTCTACTTTAATATTTGCAACAAATTATAGGTGCAGTGTAATAATTAAATATAAATATTACAATTCTATCATTATGTTTTTATCATCTTTAATTAATGTATAATGTTAGCTTTTGTAAAAACGTAACACTTTTAGATTAAGTTTACAAATTAATCTAAAAATGACTTTGTAAACGTTATGAAAGTATATATAAGATAATAATAATTAGTCGTATGAAAATTTTTAATACGAACAACAAAGCCGTTTTTTTTTTTAATTATACAACAGGTTAACTCAGAATTGATTTGCCACGTATCCTCTTTTACGTCTATAAGAATATAGCGCCACTTTGTCACCTCAGTATACTTAAATTTCTGACAAATTTGGGTCACTAAGACCAAAGTGGTTGTATAAAACGACAAAAGTAACTTAAACATAGACCCCACCAAAATTCACCATCTCACACCGTTCATGTTTAATTATTTCAAATTATTAGTACTAAGGTAGATACTTCTGAAACAAATAAATTTTATCAAACTGTTTTGTGCATGGCATAAAATGTTATCATAATTAAATACAGTTTTTTATGACACTGAAATACGTGTGTGATAAAAGTACCGTGTACTTAATGTCACTCGCTGAAAATTATATTCAGCTAAATTTATATGTACTTTAAATAAAATACCTTCAACTCGTAAAAATGAACCAGTCGTACAAGTGAGAGCAACTAACATGTTTCTTTTGGGATTATGAATGTAGGGTAAATAACGCAGATTCTTTGCTGTTGATGTTTATTACACTATTTTGAGTAAGTTTCGTTTGTTTCTTTGCAGTTGCTATTAAATTTGCTTCATATATTCAAACACTGCTGTGTTTACGCAAGCGTCTGCTTACTACTTACGCCATAAATTATGACAATTTTAGTCTCTTGCAAGAGCCCGAGAGGAACAAAGACACAGCTGATCACCATAAAATAACTCTAACGAAGAGCCATACTGAGAGAAGAGAAACCAGTCCTCTGTGCAGCCTACATAAATGATTCCGAACTAAACACAATGAATATTTATCATCCGTTATTGTTCTTTCATCTACTTTACCATCTTGATCCGGAACTGCAATGAAATTAACTTTTTATAAATGCATGTGCTTAATTTTGTGTATCATCGAAATTAAACAAAACTAAAAATTACAGCAACCTCAGAAACCTGTATAAAGTAAGGTTCAGATACATATTTTATTATTAATATGTACAATGTAACACTAAATGTGAGATTTATTTTACAGTGCTTCAATCGTTGTGTTTAACGTCCCATAATTTCGGTAGCTTTTTTTAAGCTGTGGTTGGAAAGGTCAAATAATGATTAATTATTGTTTCAGGATGTGGTGGCTGTTACTGTCACTGGTGTGGTGGTGCGGAACGTGCGCCGTCGCTGCTCCGGGCCCCGGAACCTGGAAATGTCCGAAAATTTCTGACCAACCTGTAGTGGAGTGCAGCTGCGACATGCCTCACACGTTAAGATGCACGGGAGACAAATCGGCGATGACAATCATTGGTAATAACGTTTCTTGTAAACCTGATAATCGTTTCATAAATTAACTTGTAGCGAAGACATTGCGATCCCTTAACGCTGCTTACGTCTCTCTTTTGGACTGTACACTGCAAAATGTAACCGTCATTTCCGGTCCTTTATTGGAAGGCATTGCTCTTCATGGTTTGGTAGTGTCCTCTGGAGAAATTACAGACATCGATCAATCAGCATTCCAGGGTTTAGCTTCGCCTTTACAAGCTTTAGGTCTACCGAATAACAAACTCACAGCAGTGCCTACGCAAGCATTAAAACCTCTACCAGAATTGGACCGCCTTGACTTATCCAGCAATAAAATGAAGAGTCTAGAAATAAATTCCTTCAAAGTAAGTACGAATTTAGTGGAAGTTGTAGAATTTGCAAAAAATTTGTTTTCAGGGTTTAAGAAACTTATCATTTATCGACTTAAGCGATAATGTCTTAACGAAAATAGCACCAAATACTTTTGAAAATCTTCCACAGTTGAAGATATTGAGACTGAGAGGAAATCGCCTCACTATACAAACGATTTCGAAGTTAAACCCTCTTCGAACCGTCGAAGAAATAGATTTATCAGGAAATAACTTAGTGGGACCTTTAGGACCCAAAACGTTTCCAAAAATGGAAGTTTTAAGAGATTTACAATTATCACATAACTCACTAAGCAGTATTAAAATGGGAGCCTTGCAGGGGATAAGCAAACTTTCTTCGTTATCCCTGCAACATAATCAAATTGACGTTCTAGAAGATCACGCTTTTAACCATTTGACTTCATTGGTGAATTTAGAATTAGCTCATAACAGAATTGTTGCTGTCTCTGGTGCTTCACTAGCACATTTAAATAAATTGACAGATTTAGATCTAAGACACAATTTTCTTCGTGCTTTAACAGCAGACTTAATTTTACCTTTGAAAAGTCTTAAAAATTTAAGACTTGATGATAACGACATATCAATTGTGGCCAGTGACGCTTTAAAAGAAACCACAGTTCTAAAGCACTTGACATTGTCCGAAAATCCTTTAAACTGCGATTGTAGTTTAACAGAATTTGCCGTTTGGTTAAACAATTCAAGTTTGCCAAATGAAGATAAATCAAGCGCAATATGTACAACTCCTCCGTCTCTAGAAAACGGATTACTAATAGAAGTACCTCTAGATAATCTTTTGTGTGGTGAAGACGAACAAGAAACCCTAATGGCTCCTCTATCTACACCTTACAAAGCCAAAATTAATTTAAACAGTTTTAAATTTGACGGGGAGTCCATCAAACTACAGTGGAACGTTGAAGATGAAGCTTCTCCATACACGTGTGACGCAATCATTGTGTATGAAGAAGAAGGTGACAGAGAAGTTTTAGTGGAATCTAATCCCTTGAAGTGTAACTCCTCAGATCTTTCCGATCCAAGAGTATTAAATGTTACAGTACCAAATTCGATTCAACTACAACACGAACACAGATATAGATACTGTGTAGTACTTTTCGAATCTGGTCAAACCGATGACGTGTCTTTGATTCTGGGTTGTTCCGACATGATCCCACTGATACCAAATGCGAAGCTTCAGCATCAACCACAAACGAATGACTTCTCTGCGAAATTTCCGAAAGTATTAGCTATTCAAGCTAATCTAACTCACTACGGGAGCTTATCGATAGACGTCAAAATCTACCCCCAGCTCACGTGTGAACTTAATTTAGCAATTTTAGAGCAAAGCGCGTTGTTATCACAAAGAAAAATAAACTGTAGTGAACCTAAATACGTGTTCGTGGGATTACAAGAAGGACCGTATAGAGTGTGTGCTAATGTTGTTACACCTGGACCAGATATAGATATAGGTAAACCTAGATGTGTGACAGTTTTTAGAAGAGAATTACGTGGCTTTACAACTCTGGATGTTATTTTTGTTTCTGTGTTTTTCGTGTTATGTTTTATTGTGATAGCTTTAATATGGGGAGTTCGGCGAGTTTTGTTAAAACCTAAAATACAAACGCATCAGTGTTTTATGCCTCCAGAAGGTGAAGAACAGCAGCATAGTCGATACGTTAAGCTTCAAGCTACAACTAAATTATAAAATACGTTATTTGTTGTTTAAAAATAATTGTGATGTTTTCAATGACAAGATAGTGCCATATAAAATATAGAATTACTAAGTGCAAATGTGTCAATTTTGACTTTCTGATGTTAAATAAATCTTTATAAGAATGTGTATATAGTCGTTTAACAGTTTATAATTACTTGTTACGAATATGCGATTGTTTTAACGGACGTAAAGTAAGTTTTGTTACAAGTTTTAATTTTAAGACTCGCCTTGTACTTGTGCGTGGTGCACACATAACTAACTTTAATTTAATTACTTTATGGAAACTTATGTACTTAGTTTACGTACTAGTTAATTAGAACTCTTCATATATATTTACTAAATCTTAACAAACATTACTTACTTGAAAAACTGCCAAATCTATTTTAGAAAAATTAATCGCTGGTCAATGTGGCAACTTGGAAATAATGATTTTTCATTAAAAAAATGCATTATTCACTTTTTAGTGTATAAAATTGTTTGAAAGAGGTAGAGAAGATGTAGGTAATTAATTATGTTGACTTTGTTAAAAGTTTCACGATATTAGATGGTTCATGCGATATTAAATAGTAAATACCCACACATTTTTCTTTAATAATAATTTTATAAGCAACATTGTGAGTTCTAGTTACCTAATTAGACTTATATTACAGTTTATTAAATTAAAAAAATACTGTATCATAAAACCGACATAGTCAAAATAAAACTGACGGTGCTATATGTTATTTTTTCTTTAAATATTGCACATTTTTTGTGAAAAAGTATGATTATTCTGTACATAGTTAAATTTATTTGTTAATTATAGTCGTTCACGAGATTCACGCAAAGTAACCGTTATTAGGTATAGTTGTCCTAATAGTCAAGCATGAATTATTCTATGTGCGATGAAGTAGTGGACCCTACTTTTAATAAGTTTTTTTTTAATAAGTTTGTAAATAACTGTATTACTAATGCTTGTTTTGACCTTTGTTATTCATGTTTATTAAATATTTATGCACTGCCTTGTAAAATAAAATCTTTAATATAAATGATTGCTTTAATCTGCCCTTGTCTTATTCCGCTTCCATGAAATAGAGCTTCCACCAATCATCACGAGCCGCTGTATGCATATCGAGATAAAATGAAAAGGCACCGGAAATACGAATGTCTGCAACGATAAAGTCTTTTTCCTTTTAGTCGTTCAGCCTCGCTAGTTGTGAAAATGTTGTGTGGTGCACTAACATTTTTCATCCTTTTGTGGTCCACTGAAGCAAAATTTTATAAAACCAACGTTACAGGTAACCGTATCTTTTTGTGGGTCCAAAACATCAACAACACTTTCAGATTTCTCCAAGTGTAAAATATATTACTCTCGATCGGGAACCGTCTACAAAGACTTCTTTGAAATCAATGACGAACCACAAAACGGAAGTCTTTTAGATTTCCATTTCTCCGTAATGTCTCCCAGCGATGCTCATATCCTTTTAGCCCCATCCAGTAATATACAAAAAGGAGATCCTGTTTACGAAATAGTGATAGGAGCGGGCGGTAATACGTTTTGTGATATAAGGAGAATGCAAAAATCGGGAGTGAAAGCCACTGTCAGAATTAAAGGTTTGCTATCGGCCTTGGATCTACAGTCTTTTTGGATTCATATCAGCAAAGGTATGTGAAATTTATTCAAGGGCCGCGGTCTCTAGTGTTGTTATTCGCAGACGGAATAGTAGAAGTAGGGAAGGAAGGAGAGGAATTAGCTTTTTTAACATGGACAGACCCAGATCCGTTACCTTTGAAAGTGTTCAGTTTCAGTACGTGGCCAGGAATTGAGGCGAAATGGTATTTCGATTGCCCACGGAATGATAACAGCACTAATCATTCGAAGGTATCAATAAAACATTTTTATGTTAGCTTAGTCAAAATAAATATTTATTCTCTTGTTTTGGGAGTCACTCATTGGAGAGTGAAAATCAGCATGTCAGAAAAATACAATTTGTTTTAATAGCTCATTCGCTCATCAAAATTATTAAACTGATTGCTTGAAAACAAGCTCGTCAGATTATTTAATCGTTATATTGCCATAATTAATGTCTCTATGAAAAGTACATAGTCTAGATTAAGCAGCTGTACACAATTTTCAATAATAGATTCACATCAGTCTCTTTTAACTATTGTTATTGACCTCTAACATTACTATTTTAAACATTAATAATATATTCCCTTGCATCTATTAACAACGACACGTGGCGAAATCTGCTGAAAACTACATTCTGTATAACATGAAAGGTGAAATAATTTGACATCTTCGGATTTTATACGCAATTTTACATTTTTCTGTGTATACAATGCAAAAATACAGATTTCCGTCTCCAACTTAATCATCTGTTACCCTTCTATTGAAATTTATTAAATTCTAAACCCACAAAATAGACTTTTTAAAGAATTAGTATTAGCATACGATTATCCTGAAGTGTAAGTCTTGACCATAAAAATTTACATTGCATCTCATGAAAAGAAAAAGAAAAAAATTCTTTTTAATCCAATAAATTTGTTTTTAATTCACGTCAGTTGATATGATATACTTAATAGACTTCAAAAATTAAAACATTCTTTAAAAAAATAAAATCTATAAAAGTAAAGGTGCGAATTTTTTAGAATTAAATGCATTCTCATATTTTATTCTTAGGTGATGTGTTTACATTTAATAAAACTGTAACATATTTTTCAGAAAATAGAAAACCCCATGACTTCCCTGGAAAAACTGCGACATGACTTATTGTATCGCTACGATCCTTACGTCAGACCTGTTTATAACACGTCCAGCATTACAGTTGTGACTTTGCAGCTTGCAACAACTATTGTAACTTTAGTGAGTAAAAGAATTCTATATCCAAGGAATACTTGCTTTTATACCTGTGGGTGTTTGAAATTTACTTTTAATAAGTTTAGTAAACATAAGCTTTGAAAGTAGTAGATTAACACAGTTTAACCGAGTTTAACTGTTATTTTAGGACGAGCATAAGGCGATGTTACATTACAGCGGAACTGTTTTAATGGTAAATAATATTTAAGTAGGGGAAATGTGCCTAAAATGATCTATAATAAAAAACAAAAAATTACAGAATACTTTGAAAATAGGTAAATTGGTATTTTTATTTAAATAATTATAACTGCTATAGCAACTATTTTGACTAAATTTGGAACAATAATTATTTTGTACTGCATTGCGAAAGAGTTAGTACCTATACTTCAACAATGTACCTGATGTGAACATATTAATTTTGAATAAAAGCAATATTTTGATAAATTCACATGGGATGTAGAATTTTGTAGATAATGAAAACCCACACTTCCGATACACGTTCTGATATGGAATTTATTTCTAGTGAAGAATCTGAGCTACCCATGGACTTACAATTTTAATATATTTTTTTTCGGTATATAACATTTCTGGAGCTACCGAAGTAAAATTTTTACAAAACTTTTAACACTTGATCCATATCGTTCAAACCCTTTAAGCAGATAAACTATTTATTTATTTCCTAGTTAACACAAACTAGAGCAGTCATATAACGGAAATTTAACAGGGTTATATACCGCTGATATATTGTTGTTATAAGGTATTTAAGTTAAGTAACAAAATTATAACAAAATTTGTTGCTATGTGACGTTACAAAACAATGTTTTATTAGAAGTATATAACATCAGTACAACAATGTTATATACCACCGTTAGGGTGACGTTATGTTGCAGCTATATAACAAGATTATAACATTATTTATTGTATTCACAATTTTTTGTGGATTTTTAGGCAACTTTTCCAAAAGACCAATTTTTCAATCGTGAAAATTTCGACCTTTTATTCACCACCTTAGGTAATAATTACGTAAAGAGTTTTTTCTAGAATTCAACCTCCAGAAGTTACTTTCGGTCTCATTTCTTCGAAATCGCCTACCTTTTTTCCAGAATCTCCCAACAAAATATGTCCATTTTTACTTTTAGGGTTAAAAAAAAAACAAACCGAATTATTTCTAAAATCTTCCTGGGGGCTCATAAACTTGCTATATTTTTCGAATCAGCATGTGGAGATCTGAGTATAACCCAGAATTGTTTATAGATTTTTAGACAACTTTTTCAAAAGCTCAGTTTTTTTTTTGAAAATTTCGGCCTTTTTCGATCACCTTCGAAAATTACCTAAAGAAATTTTTTCGTACATTTCGTCCACTAAAAGATGCTTTGGTCTCATTTCTGTGAAAACTCCTACAATATTTTACAATATTCGGATGAATAGGACAGTTTTTTGGGTTATTTTAAAGAATACATTTTTCAAACTGAATATTTCTAGTTGTAGTATTAATTTATTATTTGCCTTACAGGCTTAATAATATTCCCAGTAGGGGTACAAATTAACTTAATCTACCTCAGATAAATCAATAACAATAAAAATAAATAAAATAAAATAAAATAAAAATTCGAGTGTTATGTAATAAATATTCTATTCTTTCTGGTTGCCCACCCCTTGTCATAGTTCCCTTATCTTCCATACTTCTTTCATCCAGTCCAGTCCTCTTCCATCTTCGTTTAGCACTTCTTCCTTACTTTCCTCCGATTCTCTCAATCCTTCACATCCTTCCAGCATATGCTCTATTGTTTCTTCCTCTCTCCAACATATCCTACACCTTCTGTCAGTTTCATCCATCCAAAAATTATTCTCTTTCTCTTCATTTCCACACCTAAATCTCGCCATCATTCTTTTCTTCTCTATACTCTCTCTCTCTGTGTACTTTGGTACTTCATCCTTTACTATTTTTCTATAGTCTGCATTATATCTAGACTCCGATATTCTCGATCTACGTTCTTGCTTATCTATATCCTTATCTCTTACACTCAGCTCTTCTTTCATACTCCTTCCCATTTCTCTCATTCTCTCTATTTCTTCACATGCATATCCCTTTCCTTCATAATACTTGTCCATTAATTCACACCCATTTTGTTTCTCAATTTCCCTTTCGTTCCAAACATATTTTCCCCCCTCCTTTCTTATTTCTTTCCAACATTCTTGCAATATCTTGCAATCACCTCTCTCACTGAACTTCTCTTCAAATCCAACCGCCCTTTTACCCGCTTCCACTCTCATTTTCTCCCTTTTTGTTTCTTCTCTCACTATATACCCCGGCGTATACTTTTCCAATCCCAATGTCCATTTCAAGTATTTTTCTTGCACTCTCTCTATTTCTTCATATTCCCTCCATCCCCAAATCTCAGCTCCGTGCATGAATACACTTTTGACCAAACTATCAAACATCATTATTCTTCTCTTATAATCATGTCCAAATTTTCTCTCTCCTATTCCCCATACTATTCCTACCACTTTGTTCGCTTGTTGGACCATTTCTTGAATATGCGCTCTATCTGAGTTATTGCTCTTTAATGTATATCCTAAGTACTGGAATTCTTTCACCTGTTCAATATTCTTGCCTCTCCATGCCCACTCTTCCTTCTCCTTTCTTACTTTCTTCCCAAACACCACCATTTTTGTTTTTTCCACATTCACTTCCAATTCCTTTTTTTTTACATACTTCTCCAAACTTTTAATCATTGCTTTCATTTCTTCTCTTTTCTTTGCCACAATCACCAAATCATCTGCGTACGCCAACGACCACACTTTCTCTTTGCCGACAACTGAATATTTCTAAAATCTTGCTCCGGAATCATAAACACGCTATATTTTTCAAATCTATATCTCTGAATTTTTCCCGGACCTTTAAACAACTTGTTTATTAAAATTTCGACTTTTTTGAGCACCTTCAAAAATTATCCAAAGAGATTTTTGTAGATTCAACCTCCAGAAGTTACTTTCAACCTCATTTTTTCGAAAACTCCTCCCATTTTTCCAGAATCTCCCAATAAAATATGGCAATTTTTAGGATTAAAAAAAAACTTTCAAACCGAATATTTCTAAAATCTTGCTCCGAGTCCATAAACACGTTATATTTTTCGAATCAGTGCGTCGAGATCTATAGCTTAATTTTTTTCTAGATTTTTGCACAACTTCAAAAATTACATAAAGAAATTTTTCGTACATTTCGACCTCCAAAAGATACTTTCGGTCTCATTTCTTTGAAAACTCCTACCATTTTTCCAGAATCATTCCATGCAAAGGGACATTTTTTGGAAATTTTTCAAACCGAATATTTCTAAAATCTTCGTCCGGGATCATAAACACGCAAAATTTTTCGATCACTACGTTGAAATCTATATCCCTGAATTTTTCCTAGATCTTTATCACAAATTTTATTAAAACTTCGACTTTTTGACCACCTTCGAAAATTATATAAAAATATTTTTTTATAGATTTTGATCTCCATAAGTAAATTTCGGCCTCATTTCTTTGAAAACTCCTATCATTTTTCCAGAATCGCCCAAATGAGATATTATATCAAATTTTAAAAAACTTATTTTCAAACCAAATAAATCTTATTTATAAAGAAGCCAACTCTTTAATAAAAAAATTGTAGAATTCCTTAGACTATCACGCTGTCAAGGATATTTGAAACACTTCGCGGGATTTAATCATTTGACTTGAGAAAACTGATAAAAGTAAAATCCACTATTAAACTTGATTGTAGGTATATAAACTTTTTAACTGATCGTTCTAGGCACAACTACCCAACAAAATTAAGTATCGTGTACTATATGATCGAAAAGATTTTGATACAGAGGTGGCTGTAATTGTGAAATGTCTGGTGTCACTGTTTTAGTTAAAATATTGTACCAATTACGACTCTTTCTCGTAAATCAAATAGAAAACAGAATCTGTATGATCAGATACTTTGAAAACAGCAACACAGCTGAAATTCCTTAATTACAGCCAACTGAAAATCAAATGTTACCGACCATGTAGGCTACTACTTTTTTTTAGAATTGGACAGATGAGAAACTACATTGGAATGTATCAAACTATGAAGGTATCAATAATTTACATATATTCCGACGAGAAATATGGATTCCAAATCTATATTTATTTGAGTAAGCCAAAACACAATAACATCCACCAGATTAACAATAATTTATTATTCTATTACTAAAAAGTGCCGTTTCGGATGGCAGCGACATCTTACAAGACACACTCCTCACGGTCAACTCCACAGGACATGTAAACTGGATGACCACGGTGAACATGAACTCTTGGTGCAGTCCCGACGATCTCGGACGATGGCCTAGAGATGAGCATACCTGTGACATCGTGCTTGGCTTCTTTAAAGATTTCGAAAATTTGCAACTCGTATTTAATGGAAATGAAAGCACATTTGTAAGGCAAATAAAGGGACGTGAATTTGAATGAAAAACTTAAAAAAGTTTGTAGGGCAGTCCGTATTCGTCAACATGGGCGGTTTTACAAGTGGACAGTTATTCAAATAAGGGATGGAAAAACCCTGCTGTTCGAAATTTGAATAATTTTGACCCTCCAGGCCTAACGTTGCATCTTAAATTGAGAAGAACGTCCGATTCGTACGCTATTATGCTTTTTACTCCCTTTTTTGGTAAGCTTATGTGTTTATGCAGAGGGGAAATTTCAAATGTTTTCTTTTTAGTGATAGCTGTTTCACTGTTAATGACATTTTGGGTGTCACCATTCGGGCATCTGAAGGTATCGCTAGCCTGTCTACAACTGATTTTAGCTTCGATTGTTCTAATAGGGTTAGGAATAATTATTCCCATACATTCTCAATTGGTACCAAACCTAGGTAACAATAATCACTATGCTGATATTAGGTGTAATATAATGTATTTTTAGTTTTATTGTACAGTTACAGCCTTGTAGCAACAGCTATTTGCATCGTGATTGAAACTATTGTTATTAATTTATCAAGAAATAAGCAAAAAAGTGCACTTCCCCACTTCCTGACAAAACTTCTGCTATCAGTTTTTCTAAAAATGTTCCTGTGTTTACCCGATATTAAAGTAAGTAGGCCAACTTATCTAACTAAGGTTTAATTTTATGTTTCAGTCATCTCAACACTATGGTAACTTGAATGACTCTTATTCAAAACTTAACGACCAACACCAAAGTATGTGGATTCTTCTAGGCGTGGTGATTGACCGCATCGCATTTTTCATTTATTTAGGGCTAACAGTTTATGCACTGTGTGTTGTTACCTCTTAATTAATTAATCCGCAGTATTCGAATTATTATCTGCAATTTAGGTCTTACGTTTTGTAAAATAAAAAATTTTAGATTTGGCAATTATACAATTTATTATACAGGCTTTCAAACGAACAATATGCATAGCGTTAACACATCAGTCTTACATTTATATAATATAAGCGGTAAATAGCAATATAATATATTTTAGCTTATGATAAAGATTATACACTCCTATCAACAAAAATAATGTTAAAATACAAACTTACTTGTCGTTTTATACCATCTTACATTTTTCGTATATGAAAATATATCGCACACAAAATTTACATTGTATAACTAATTACAGACATATATGTGTATTTGAAAGCTGGAGTAACAAAAACTGAATCACATATAATTTCGTAGTGTCAGAAAGCAAAAGCTTACAGACTAAAAGTTTCGTCGATATGCTTGAAAAATAGCAAATAGCAAAAATATGCACGATAAAAAATTTTCAACTAGAATTATTTGTCCTCACTTGAACTTTTCACGTAAAAACCTAACTAAGCTTGGAAAAATATTTTGTATAAAACGCTACCTAATGATTCTTTTTTTGGTCTGATTCACACAGATATGTGCTCCTGAACTTTTTTGAAAAATGAAGAACGTGCTATCTCGAAAATTGATGATTTTGCTTGAGAGGGTATCGTAATTTTCAATATAGCACCGAAATGATTAATAAACATCTTAAAACTTACGCATTAACAAATTGGTAATAAAATAAAAATACAACTTGGTGAAACAAATCATAAAATAATGGTCTCTTTTGACTGTTCACACTCTAAACTATTTTCCTATACAATATTTAAAATTAACACAGCTCAGATTAATGAATGGTAGATTAATTTGAGATCTGTTCTTAAACAACACATAAATTAACGTAGCAATATATAATTAAACACAAATGCTAAAATTTTGAGAAAACTAATTGCTCAACGCATCTAAACAATTCAACTCGAATTCTCCTTTCCCTTGGAATCTGCAAAAAAAGAACGTGTACTCAACGCTCAATTCACTCCAATTTTTACAAAATCAATAAATTTGTGCAAAAACAACATAGAACATAAAAGATATGCAAATTTACCTGATTTGTAAAAAAAGTTTGTACTATGTAGTGTGTTATCTCTATTTACCGGAATCTCCAGCAGAATCTCCATTAGTAAGTTGTTCTTCCTTCTTCTCCTCTTTTTTCTCCTCTTCCTTCTTCTCTTCTGGCTCTTTCTTCTCCTCAGAAGACTGCTTCTTCTTGTCTTCTTTGCTCTTACCTTTAGCTGGAGTCGCTGGTTTAGGCTTAGGTTCTAAGCTTGGATCCAAAATAACTTTACCGACGTTTTTCCTGTCGTGCATTTTTTGCATAGCCTCGGCAACCTGACACAAACGTATTAACATCTCACACAACCTACTTTCCAAAAACTTACGTCCTCAAGAGCCCAAGTTGAATCAAGAAGAGGCTTAATTTTTTGCTCTTGGAATAGAGCAAAAACTGATTGCACTGCTTTTCCTACGAATTCGTGTCCACCTTGTTGGAACATAAGCCTGCGCAAGTTGAAACCGCAGAGGGTTCGGTTCTCGTCAAAGAGTTTCAGTGGGGACACTTTGTCCACTTGCCACCACTAGAAAGTCGAAAGTAAATAAAGTAACATAAGTACTACTAAACTTACAGAACGAGCAGCGCTGAAGAAGCTCTTAGTTTCTCCCGTCACCACATTCGACGAACCATAAAGGATGTATTTTCCCATGGGCTTCAATAAATTGTAGCCTTTGTTGCATTCCTCTCCGCACAGACAATCTAGAACTATATCGACCCCATCCGGCAAAACTTTTCTTATTTCACTAGTGTAGTCGCTGCCACGTTCCAAAAGATGATCAATGGGCGATTTCGCATTCTTTAAAGCTTCATGTTTACCCTTGGAACAAATTCCGAAGATGGTAACGTCGGGGACGGTCTTCGCCAATTGCACCACAGCCTGGCCCTGAATAAGACAGCTCGATTTTAACAAGGTTGGAGGCGAAGACAATAATAAAGATGGCGACGTAAACTCAATTACGGGCGTATAAGATTAAGCTGAAAAAATAACGAACCACCTACATCACCAGACGATGCTGGTTTTTTTTCTTTTGTGTGGCAATTTCTTAACAATCGTTAATGAACGGCTAGGTTCTTAACGTATGGAGCAACCTTCTGGGACCCTCATCTAACCGGGTGTTTCCTTTCTGATTAAATTAAATGTTAAATTGACTTGTTTCAAGCAATCTCAGTTGCATTATGCTCGTTTATGTAATTGAAACTTGAATTAATAATTTAATTTAGCAGCGATGAATAATACCGAGATGCAGATAAGAAATTAAGATAGCGGTTGAGAATTGCTTAGGGCAGGCGAAATTAATTCAGCGCTTAAATTTTGGAGAAGGCGAAAGTGGCACAGACTAAATATAAAATTAAAATAAAAATCAGAATGATTGAAAGAAGCGTCGCGACGGTGGCGGAAAACTTACACCTAAAAATATAGCCACAGCTTAGTTCTGAAAATTGTTGATTTTTAAATTTAATTTCGGTGTTTATGCTTTTCGATGTGCCATACTATAATAAAATTCCAAATACAAATAAACGAATTTTATGACTTGTCTCAGAAATTATTGAACCTGGGATTACAGAACAATAACTACACAGATTGTTTACCATTTAAATTAATAATGCATTCTCAAGTTTGATAAACAGATTTTTATTGCAAAATACCTCACGAGAATTGTTTACATAAGATATCTCACAAAATTGATGTAACGTAATGCATTATCAAAACATTTATTCCCTCGTTATCTCAAAAAAATATTACATATTTTTGTACAAAAATACGCACGTGGTGTAGGTTTTGTTTCAAAAGCAAAGGAAATTCATTACAAATAATAATAACTGAGAGCCCTGAAAAGATAAATTCAAGATGATTCATTTCTTATTTGTTTTTTAACAACTATGTGGATGAATCATGGGGAACTGGTAAAGAATTAAGTATTAATTAGAGTAATCTTTCAGTAAACTACTCAATAATTCGTACTTGCATAGGTTACAGAAAATATATCCAGTATGTGTCATGTTTACTATAATATTATTCCATTGAGCTCAAATAATATCACGATAGTCAGACATACAGGCATATATCTATATTTCATTTCAATGTAAAGCTATCATGAACAAAGCTGCATCAGGGGCGAAATAAATAATGTCGTTTGATTGAAATGAAACTGACTCAGAGTTGGCGTTGATTGGCATGCTACATTTAGCATCACTAATCTAATTAACAAAACAATGAACCGGTAAAATAACAACAGTGGATTTACCCAACAGTCAAACCATGTAAGTTACTTTCTCCACAAATGTTTAAAAAGTAAGTATATTTTAGTTTTTCTTTTGGTTCTTATTATTTGTTATGAATCGATTAGGCTTACTTTGATTCATTTTTTTTTTATTTTGATGGCAGAACACACTTAACATACTTCTCATACGTCAAAATAGTTATCAGTTTGACTTTGGCATACCTTCATTTTTTATTAGCACAAAGGTTATGTAAGTTAATCAATGATCCATGTCTCACTTCTAAGATTTCTTTCATTTCCTTGCTTCGATTGCTAACCTGATTAAGCAATAAGGAAATATATAGAAATTGTCAAAATTTTCAAAAAAAATCTTACATTTTAATTTTTACATTCACTTAACCAAATAAATCACAGCCTTGCACTAGCCAGTGACAAAAGCGCAACAAGACGAAAAACTTTTAGAGTGAAAGCAAGAATTAAGTTGATCGAAGTAGACAATACCGGCATCGCTCGGGTATGACGCAGAGCTCTCTTACGAGTCTGGTTTTATTCGCTATAAAAAGTAATCATTTCAAATCCAGCACAACGGCAGCTTTAGCAAAAAACACTTGAACCGAATTGGATCAAGAAAAATGAATTCCGGATGTAGAATATTAAAATAATGAAGACTGCTCGCGAATGTGTGTTGAGTGAGTTAGACGGGCTGGAGAAACGTGAGCGGAAATTTAAAAGGGTCGTCGCAGAGACCCCTTTTCGTAGCCGCCGCTAGAAACGGCGCTGTTTTATTGCTGCGTGTTGGCGATCAATACCTGCGTCGTCTGGTCGCGTCGGGACGGATGGGATCGTTTGCCCACAGTAACACCCATTCCAAACTGGCACCGAGAATGAATTTATAATAATTTTTGGCGGCGATTCCGCTCGCTGAAGCAATATCCTTATCGCACTCGTTTGTTCGTTTCAGTTGTTGGGAAGTTTTTAATGTGTCTTTTGGGGTATACGAGCAAAAAGGGGTGTCTGTAGTTCGGAAAGGTCCTGAAAGGTCAACGACATCAGTCTGGAGGCGAAAGTTGCATGTGTGGTCCTGACCTTGCATGGAAAGGGAGCTTTTGGCGCATAAAGGGACTAAAATAGAAGCAAAATTTATACGAACACAAAAAATCTTTGCTAATATATTTGGGAAACGCGTGACTTTATAAAATAGATCGAAATCAACTAAATAATTTACGAATACTACTGGACACAAAAAAATGGGTCGAAAAACTTGAGCCAATACTAACCTACCCCTCTAAAGCGTGACCATATCTTGCGCGTAGTCTTACTTTCGTATAGATTTCTTTTCAAAAAGATTTTTATGAGAAAAAACCAAACCAGCTTTAGTGGTTTAAAATGATTTTCATGTCCGAACACTAAATGAAGCGTTAAATTTGAGGGCCCGAGACAACTTATTCAACACCTTCATTATTGCGACGAAATCAATGGCTATTATACTGTGATTTAATGTTAAATGTTTGCTTTTAATTATTTATTTTAATCAATAATCAGTTCCATTAATGTGTTTTTTCTTCTAGACTAAATTCATCGACCTAGGGCCCAATTTCAGGTTGACTGTGCGTCGCCGCAAACTGAATTTGCCACATAGCAACACACCAAACTGCCCACAACCCGCAACAGTCGCAAATTTGCATTACTACGACAAATTTAAAATTGGGTCGTTAGTTGATAACAAACACACTTTATTTTCGACAAACTAAAAGAAAAGAAAATTTATACACTTTTCACGAAGGTGAATTGCAGAATTGTTAAATTTCGAAAATAGTAATATTAATTAATATTTTAAATACTCCAGCTTTTTACAAAAATAATACATTTTCACCCTACTAACATTATTTTTTGCATATACTTATAAATGTTGATTTGTACAATGTAACACACGAGAAAGTATTTCAAAAATTATAAGAACCCGTGTATTTTCAAAAAATAAAATTATATTGTAAAAAAAAAACAGTTTTGTCAATCAACGAAACAAAATAGATGTTAAATATTTAGAAACTATAATTTATTAATCACCTGGTCAAAATTAATACAATTCTTTTCTATTTTGGACTCAGCTCATAACCAAAAAAAGTCGAAAATTATCAGCTGAATGTGGCACAAACATAAGATTTATATCCCAAGAGTGGACTACAAATTACGCTGAATCGTGAGGCTTTCCAAAAATAAGATTTCACAAATTTCGTGATCTCACTAAATGATCGTTTATCCTTTCACTTGACTGTACAAGACTGCCTTTTATTCTTACTTTATGTATAAGCGTGATAACAAGCGTCAAAATGCTTATCATCACACAAGCGAAGGCGGAAGTGTTGTACCCACTAGAATACCAAATTAGTCAATTAAATACTGGTGGAATTTATTTCTGTCTTTTTATTTTTATCCAACGGAGATATAGTAATCATAAATGAGTAAACACATTGTGTTTAAATACTCATTCATTTGTATGTATGTCCAAAGCGTGAATAATGCTAAATAAACGTGATTGTAAAATGGGACATTTCTTGAATTAAAAGAATTACGATTGATGGGTATAATTTAACAAACACTTAACAAATCGCATTTATAATATATGACAAGTACAGTGGTATATTTGTGTAAACAAAACTATTCTCAGGCAATATATGGTACATTGTAGTACCTATTATTCAATACTGTTCCACGTACCTCAATTTCTTATAAATATAACAAACTTGTATGTACAGAAATAATCTACCAATTGTGGTGCATGTATTTGTTTCCAATATTGATCGACCCTATTCGTCCTGTAGCGCATTAACAATTTACCGTAACATCAGTTCTGTTCGATTTATCTAATTCATTTATGAATTTTCATTTTTGATTTTGCTTGGCGGTTTCAGCTATTTTTGAAACAAATAACCTTATTATCAAATGTATGTCACATCGTTACTTAATAATATCATGAAGTATCATTTCCTTGCCACCACGGCTTTCACAGTAATCGAATCTAACGTTATCAGATATATTTCTCGACATTTCGTATTGAAATATGATACGGGAGCCATATATGTATGTATATCCTGTTTAACATTTCGTTCCTTTCCAAGCGAAGATGTTATCTGAGAATATATTCATTATAATTTGATGACTTTAACAATGAACATTAAATTTATTATGAGAACTTCTGAAAGGATTACAAATAAATTTATTATCAGCTCACTATGAACTATAGCAAACAATGTTTCCAAGAGGCGAGATAATGTCAAACCGTGATTAAAAGGAGACATCATTGGTGGTTTATATGTTGTTTAAAAACAAAAGAGCATTAGTCATAGTTGGTAAAAGATAAATATGTGGATGCTGATGTACGTACTGTGATGAATACACATATTTATTTTAATAACAATGCCTGCTAAAAATTAAAATCCCGTGAGGGCGTCAAAACGTAGACAGGTGGATGCTGGAAAGCGGAATTTTCGTGTTCTACAAATTGTGAAAAAAAAAACCCAAATCGAATACATTAAAATTTAACTATTATAAGCTGCAAAATTTCAAAAACTGAGGGCTCTGAGCATGCTTTCAAATGTGGTGATTCGTGACCATGACGGTTAGTAATATTCCTTTTCGTCGATTGGCTTATTGACTTTGTGATATAGCTAACAACTAGATGTTGGTATTACAGTTTAAGTTAAAATTAGGCACAACAGCGTTGCGACGCTTAAGCACGTACAATCTATTATAGAGTAGTTCAAAGTTTCGTCGATACTTAAGCACTTAACAATATGTACCGATGAAGTTACAACCAGTTATTTTCCGCCAGTGTTTGCATAGAAATTTTAATTTGGCAACTCATATTGCAAGGTTTCAAACGAATAACAATTTGAATTTTTTAATTAGTAATTTGTTTCAGTTTACATTTTCATGCGTCATTTATAGAAAAAAAACTTTGCATGAAATCGAACGTAATTTGTGCTATACATTTTTTACCATACTGATAAAATAAATTCAATGATTTCAAAATCTTTGGAGACGCTATATAGATGATGCAGACTCCCGAGCACATGCTTATGTGTAATTCTGAGCTCACAAACTGATTCCACATAAGCTAACATGTTAAAAAATTCATCCGCTTATCTCAAAACCACCATACCAACCACCCTCCGAAACCTAACCTTGCAACAACACTTTTGGCAGTTAAGCTAATTTATGAATTAATACCACAAAGTAAACAATATTAACCAAACAAAGCATCCCCACGTTACACACTGCGTCACTCGTATATAAACATTTAACAACCCCTTCTCGTTGCCTACCTTTCATACCATATACGTATAGCACATAAATTACCCGCTGTAACTTTGTTTGGTCGCTTTTCATGGACTTCTTCGGGTTTAGCCAATCTTGAGTCAGACAGTGCAAATTTCAATAATTAATTCAAGATTACTACTTCTACATCAGCGAAACAATGCATCTAGAGCTTCTTGTAGCACTGTCCTTAGACAATCTGCATACAACAAAAACTTACAATTATTTAAACATGGAGCTATATCATTTACACAAATAATAAAACTAAGTGGGCCTAATTTGGATCCTTGTGTTAGTGCTACTTTCCTTACGAAAAAGTATTTTGAAATCATCTTTATTAAAAACAATAAATCCCCCTTGAAACTCGGTTTGAAAAAATCGTCTGGTAAAGACTAGTAATAGGTTTTTCCAGCCGTAATAACCCAAAGGATTTTCGTGCACTAATTTCGGGGGTGGGTTGTGACGGCGTCTTTCCATATGGTGTAGTCGGGACATCGCGGTTGTCTGGACGCGCCCCAAGCCCTAATCAATATGAATCTTAAAACGACCAGACTCGGAGACGCCGTCGCGGCGCCAGTGACACAAACGGGAAACACGCTAGTGCAAACACCCACAACCTGTTGCTGGGGACGGCGGCGGAGGCGGCGCAGCTGGTAGAATGACGCCACGTTCCCAACTCGTTAAGCGTTCAACTTGGCAAACCGAGGAAAAGTAACGAAAGGCGATCGAAGGTCCATAAAATATCTGGGGAACTATTTCGAGACGATAAAGCGGCCAAATTGTCGCAAATGCCATAAGCAATAATTTCGTTCAGTTGTAGAGGCGACAGTAATTGAGATCGTTTCCTAAACGAATAGATGTTTAACCGATTTGGCAGAATTAGTTTATTGCGCCTGTCGCGCTAAACAAGCTATTTTGACAGTCTGTTCTGTAATTTCTGAGAAAAATGATTAAATTATGTGTCTAAAGAAATCAGCAACAGACGGGAATAGATAAAAATCAGACTTATAGTTTCGTGCTCAACAAGTTCAACTGAACAAGAACTGAGGTAGTAGTGGAACTCCAAAGATGTCCACTAGGAAACATAAAGGGTAAAGTTAATTTTAAAAGAGAATTGTTTCATTACCTTTTCGTTTTAATTAAACGAACGAATAACTAGTCTAGTATATATTTTCTAAACAAAATGACGACATTGAGCTAATTTTCTTGTAATCTGTTTTCATTAACTATTAGATGACTGATTAGACTTCAATATTAATGACACGAATTGTACGCAACTGTAACCTTTATCAGAAAGTACATAGGGACACAAATTTGTACTTGACCTTTAGGGTGCGATAGAAAATACAAGCAAGCACGAAATTTGTGCTAGTACTTATGTTCGTGTTGCTAAGTAATTTGCTGAAAGATTGTTGTGCGAAGCCTAACAAACGAAAATCCCCAACTTCCTTTTTTTTCTACTCCCACGTGCATTACTTTAGATTTGAGTAATATTACGTATTCATTGAAGTGCAAATCACCGTTATTCTACCCACAAAAATAAATAATAATGTGTAAAAGCTTTTCAATTACCTATCCACGATTGAAAAACTTTTCCTGAATTTTCACATTTTTGTGTTATATTGATGGTAATTTGCACCAGAAACAATGTAGACTAGCGCGTGATCAGAAATGACTGGGTCTGTTGGTAGTACTTACGTTGAATAAAAATGTGAAATTTTCTTACCTTTATGTTGGTATGATGGAAATAATTCTGTGGATATGTCAATCGTGAGAAGCGATAAATTTAGGTTATATTTTGGATCTTGACACCTGACAACTGGAAATTATAAAAAATATCACGATACCAATTTCAACTAAAAATCCAGGATTGCCAACAGACTCAATCCTTTCTGATCACGCGGTATTTAAATGCGTAATATTCTTCGCTTTGAAATCGTAAATTAATTGTGGATCGTCCAGGATGGATAGCCCTCAAGGGTCATCGTAGATTAATTGTGGATCGTCCAGGATATCCCTCAAGGGTCTTTAAAAAAGAAAAGTTATCTTTGTTTCGTTGAACACCGGAAGAGTTACAATTTAGTTTGTGCTGTTTCTGAATAAGGAGCTCTTTGAGGATTTTTCATCTCATAATTTGTAGCCACTGCAGTAGCGATATATTGATCAACTGAGATGAAACACCCTGTATGTTTGAATTCTAAATATGGGTATCAAATATGGTTTTATTAGCATATTATCGGGTTATTTATGTAAATGTCCTTGGCATAATTTCCGAGGAAATGAATAATTTAAAATTAGAAAAAGTTTAAAGATATTGATTTTTAAAAGCAAAATTCGCAGTAAAACAAATATGTTCCCGAATAAAATAAATAAAACATTTTCCATTAAAAAATATATATCTGCCCATATTGCGAAGAGCATAACAAAAAAAATTACCAATGCAGACGTTTTTTCGTTGACGGAGAGGTAAAATGTATTCAAAAATAATTCCCAGGAATGTCATCATTTTGCTAAAAAAGCTTTACACAGTTACTCGTCAGAAAAATTTAACACTATGTCACGTTATTTAAAAAAATGACTATATAGAAACATTTGTAGAAAACGCATGCCGACAGGCCCACTAATGTAAACGTATATGTTTTCGATGATTAACTTGTTTATATTACACTTGGAAAGTAAATATTTTGAAACAATATCCTCGATAATGAAATCTACACTTGCAATTCACGTGAAAGAAAAAAGTCTGTGTACCTTCTCTAAAGAAACATTACATTAACACTCGCATAGTAACCACTTATTAAGTGAACAAAACAAAAGTTTCTTAAAAACCTCCTTACATACAATTTTCACCAGTTTATTTCATAAAAATAACTTTTTTATCGCACAATTTTAAAACTAAATTGTTATAAATGTCATAAAGATACATCGAACTTTTGAAAGTCAAATGTGAACTCGCATTCAATAAAACGCCGACATTTTATTATGCTTATATCAGAGGTAAATATGATTGAATTTTGTGATAAAAAGAATAATAAAAGTCGCATAAAAATACAAAGGGTTAGACAAAGAAAAATACAGCTCGAGCTTTATTAACTTACCACTCCACCCCCTACTGAGTGCACCAAAATAGATTTTCCCTTTGACAGTCCTGCAAGCTCGAAAAGAAGAATGTAGGCCACAGTATAATTCATTGTGATAGTAGCAGCATCCAAGTGGGAAATATCCTTAGGAAGCTTGAACACATATTTGGCGGGGACGGCCACCAGTTCAGCCCATGCTCTATATTCCGGTAATGCAACTACTTGGTCCCCTACCTGCAAACAAATAAAATAATAAAGAACAAAGAATCGACTGATTCAAAATATACAACGCAATATATTTAAATACATGCAAAGTAAAAAAGTGTCATTACTATTAAGACAATATCTATTTAAACAGAAGATACTATTTTAAATGTCATGAAGTTAATAAATATAGGTATTGTTTTGTTTTTGATATTAAATAATAATAATTGGATTTTGAAAAATATACCAAGTGATTTTGTTGTAATGATAATATTTAGTATCACCTGAACTGATGCATCATCGTTCTTAAACTGTTATATGGCTTAACATTTCCATATTTAACCGAAGTTAAAACGAGTCCTGATAAGCTGCATACGTACATTTCATATTTACGGCATATCTTGAAAATCATTTTTGAAAGTCGTTGACTTACTACATAAAGATTAAGATTACTTTTCGAGAGTCTACGACCTATAATCGTGCTATCAAGGAAGTTGATTTCAACGTCCCCTACCGTAAACTGCTACTTCCAACTAAATTTTAATATTAAACGAAAGAATCTACAAAGTTTAGATAGAACTTGACTCATTCGCAAACTGACTTAGATATTGTTGAACAAAAACTTAGTAAATATCTTTTATCTTTAGCTTGTTGAATTTCTTTTATGAATTTAGTTAATAATTATTAAATTTAATTAAGTACAATTAATTGGATACCTGTTTTTAAGATTAAGACAGATGATATTAATACAGATTATTACATGACAATGGCCACAGGCTTTTGCCGCCTTGTCGATACAAGGATTATAATCAGATTATTACAGTGTTACAATTAATTTATTCTGAGTTTGGAACGTTATATTGCAAAATAAATTTAACAACAAATCTGAATAAAAAAAAATTTGCAGTGACAATTACTTATGTCTGTATATAATTTTTCAAATGGACGTTAAAATAACCAAGTCATTTATTGTGTCACAGTACTGACAAATTATAAAATAGGACTGAAGAAAAATTCAAATTTTTAGACCGTTTTATTTGTTAGAAGAGAACTGTAGCTGAATATTGTGACTATAAATCTCGACTTTTCTTCATGTTTAATTTCTCGCCTGCCTGGTACAACAATCGACCCATAGTAAGTCTCGAGACATGCTTTCGTCTTTCACCAACAGAATTAAAATACCGTCTTTCAACTTAATCTCCTCGTCTGGAATGAATTTTTCATTCACATCACCATATACCAAACAATAATTTCGCAAACCTAGAATTCTAAACACATGCATTAAATTTCAACCTGCTTGGAAATTTACTTCAGTTTAATTTCGCAAGCGTGGGGCTGTGCTGAGCTAGTTTGCGGTTCGGTAATCCTCTTGATCAGGATCATTGATAGGAAACTAATTCAATTAAGTGCTAATCCAATTAAATCTAACATTCATTAAAATTCCCAACGAATCAAAAACCGCAGCGTCAAACGACTTTTGTTAACTAAGGGCAACGTCGATATTGGAAATTTAATGACAACAAAAACAAATAAACCCCGGATTCATTATTTATTTCTTCCTCGACCACCCAGCGCTTTTTCCCTCTAAATAAATTCCTCACGAAGCCCAACACGAAAATATTATATAAAATTGTGTAAAAGCCGGGATTTTCGGCTAGAGATAATTTAAGTTTCGGTTCGGGAATGTCTTCAGCCCTAAATCATTTATAGAGGGGCAACTGGGATTCACCCCCATTAACCCCACCACATTACTCGGATATAAAATCTAGTTCAACTTGGACGGGAGGATTTTTACGAGCATCGGTCTGCCTGGTAACAAGTTTTCTACATTCAAGGTCACTAAAATGGAAATTCAACACGCATAGCGGAAACTCGGGTCGGGGAAAACTTCAGTACTTACACCAAATGAAATCTGAGTTAAGGGTGGCCGCACTTGTAAAGAGAAAGGCGAAAAAGGAAGCGAATAATATTGAAATAATTTGTTCGGGAAAGAGAAAGACTGAAAAGGACCAACAAGTTACGACGTCAATGTCGTATTTACTGATAACATCGAATTGTTCGATTTATTGTTTTACAGAAGGAACTTTCATTTGAAAAACCTGTTAATTAAATCTGTAAATATTGTAATTACTCTTCATGATTAGTTTTTTATAAAAGTCGAGAAACGAAGTGGGCGGATTCTTGGATATCTATAAAGTTTTACAACTCAAACTTTTATAATTAGATTTACATTTTAAACACTTTGGAAAGTCGTATAATACGTGTAATACGTTTTAATTTAATAAAAATGATAGGCTGTACATTTTTGCTCAATAGACAATATTAGTTATATGCATTATAATGAAAGCAATTCTAAAAAATATGAATGCATTGATAAAGTACAAGTGTGAAGAGATATTTTGCACATTTTAGATAAGAGTTGCCTAGAAAAAATCTGACATGAAGTCAAGTTTTTGAACAGACAAGTAGACCAATTTTTATTAGCGGTTTACCATTACATCAAAAATTTTACAAAATTTCAAAGCATTCGTATTTCCAGTTTCTAAGTTACATAGTAAATGTTAATTTTGACTTTTTTCCCATTATCTGGATGGCCAAGGTAAAAAATATAGGCGGATTCATAAACCAGCAGTACTTATAGAAATATTTTTACCACATTTAAACTTAAAAATAGGATTCGGTTTTTGTATCAGTAACAAATGACATGCATATTACATACATTCTGGAACATAGTATTAAACAATAAAATGGGCATTTTATTAAATTAAATAGGTTAACTTCTCTCTTTTGGTGTTATTTTAAAAAGGTTAAATCAGTAAAACGTTGAAAACAACACATCACATTGCGTTACATAAAATCGGTTACAGTAATTTTCGATTAGTGGGTAATCACCCCACCACCAATGGGAGGAAGTCATCAATAATTTTTACTTCCCGAGCGTAAGCAAAGGAAGTATTGTAATTGAGTCCGTCGGCCGACTCTCTACTTTTGCATTTTCTCAACCCATCATGACCCCTAGAGGACGAAGAAAAAGGTCTCCCGTTTCCGTCTGTCCGTCTGTCTGCCGTCCCGGTTTTTTATTAGGCAGATAATCTCCGAAAGTACTGGGCCCACTGATGTCAAATTTTGTATTTACATTAGGTATATCATCATGGGCGCCCATAGAAACCTTTCTCAGGGGGGGCCACCCTGAAATTTTTGTAATATACTCTGTTCTTGTATATATAAATAATATAATGATATAAATCTTTACTATTATAAATATATATTTTAATCATCAACTACGTTAATCAAATCTACTCGCAAATAACCCTACAACATCATTATTCTTATTATTAACAAAACAGTGTAAAATATTAAAATTAAAAAGTTATAAAAATATAAAATTAATCAAAAGCAAATTGCTAATTTCTTTTTTCTTGGCCAAAATCGTCAATTACTCTACCAACAGATGTTTCTTCGGCATTAACTCTCTCTCTCTCTCTCAAATACTACTGTCAAGTTTTTTTATTTTTACAAAATCCTGCCAATTTTGGATTTCGTCTGATAAATTGTCAGTGGAGTAAAATTCGCCCAACCCTTTAAAGCAACTTGGTTTTAAGTTATGTACATTTTTTGGATGTAAGGAAAATAATGAGTATGATGACACTTTTGTTTCGGAAAATCATGTCGTTAAGGAAAGAATTAAATGATCCAGGTATGGAATAAAAGTGCCACAATAATTTTCTATGCTATCTGTGTTGTAGTTCGCACGCCCACTGGTGAAACGTTCTGGAGCAACCGAAATTTCCACTCGAAATCGATGGCTACTCTGAAAATCCGCCATCAGTAGTAATAAATAACACCACTTTATTTTATACTTCTTATTAGCTGATGAAGTATCATCATCAGTATTTGTAATTTTTCACTTGAAGAAATTTCAAATATCCATATTTCTTTGTTTTTAAATAAAATATTAAATTTAAAATTTAAACAGACATTTAATCAAGAGTACTTACGCTTGTATTTTGAAATAAATAAATAATAAAAAGTATAGTCAACAAAACGCCGGTTTAACAACTATTCGTCTTTACACGTCACTTCACCACAGATCAAAAGTGAAAACGGAATGAATTTTTGGACGTAAGCAATAAAATGTTTGCTCTTGTGTTGTAATAACTGTAAAAATCAAATAACGAAACAACCCATAATTCAGTACCAGTTAAAAAGGATAGATTTATGATGTTTCCAGGCAAATCTGGGCCGAACAGAGGGTTTCAAAACCAGATGGTCTAAGTTTGTCACATTTCTGTGTTTGTGTGGCCATAAAACTGAAAGTGTAGGGTATGTATCTACTCTTACAAATGTGCTGAAGTTTAACTTTGACAAATAAAAAGGAAATTGACGCAGAATCTCAGGGGGGGCCATCGCCCCCCCTGCCCCCCCCCTATGGGCGCCCATGTATATCATGTAGATGGTAAAACGCTCACCAAAATTTGTCTAATCATTCCCACCACTGTGATGACGTCACTTCAAAATTGTACATAGTAAATTGTATAAAATAACATAAAGACTATGTTAATTTATACAATTTTTACATAAACTACATGTGTAAGAATGTAGTTTATGATTCCGAATTGAGTTTTTACCCGAAACATCCAGATTTTTTGAAAAAAAATCAAAATTATTAAACATTTTGCAATTTAATTTGGAATCTACAAAACCGAATGCTTTAAAATCTTGCAGATGATTTACAGTTATGATAAGCATGATAAATTTATATTCAAAATATATTTACTTATCCCTCGAAAAAATTGATGACGTCAGCTCAAAAGTTTGCCGAATAAATCCTATCGAAAATGTACAAAATATGATGAGTCTGTGCTTGTGATTTACCTTTTCATTCATATTTTTTGGATTTGCATATACAGGGTGACTCAAAAAAATTAATGAATGCGTCAATATAATTTATTGATTAAATCAGAAACTACAAAACCAAATGCTTTGAAATCTTGGAGATGGTTGAAAGTTATCATAAGCATGGCAAATTTTTTATCAAAATGTATTTGCTCATCCCCCCTAAAAAATTGATGACGTCACCCCAAAATTTTGCTGAATAAATCCTGTCTAAAATGTACAAAATATGATGAGTCTGTCCTTGTGATTTATCATTCCATTCATATTTTTTTAATTTACATATACAGGGTGAGTCAAAAAAAATTAATGAATGCGTGAATTTATTTTATTGATTAAATCAGAAACTACAGCAGCAAATGCTTTGAAATCTTGGAGACGTTTTAAAGTTATCATAAGCATGGTAAATTTTTAAGCAAAATGTATTTGCTCACCCCCCCTAAAAAATTAATGACGTCACTCCAAAATGTTGCTGAATAAATCCTATCTAAAATGTATAAAATATGATGAGGCTGAACTTGTGATTTATCAATCCATTAATATGTTTTGGATTTGCGTATACAGGGTGACTCAAAAAAAAAAGTACTTCAGGAGCGAGGGAAGTTCTGTCGAAACAACTTTCGGCCAATTTTTTTGATATTACAGAATAAGATACTTCTGCAGTTATGATGCGTGAATCAGTGTTAAGTTTTTAACCTAGACATCCATATTTTTGAAAAAAAAATCAAAATTTTATAATAACATTTTGAAATTAAACTTCGAAACATATATTTATTTTAACTTATATCATATATCATAAAAAAAACATTCACAAAATCAAAACTTATAATTTTTCGAAAAATCTGGATTTAGTTACCTTGGACACTCTTTCAGTTTTGTAATTTTCTTTAATTGTTTCGTTTTTCATTTTCCAATATTTCCGTGTCATAATTTTTCGTTTTTGCAACTTTAATTTTTTTAATTATTCTATTTTTCGACTTCCAAATTTTTCAGTTTTTCGTTTCTTCCATTTTTCGATTTGCAATTTTTCGGTATTGCAGTTTTTCTTTTTTAAATCTTTCAGTTCTTAATTTTTAATTTTTCGTTTCCCCAATTTTTCAAGTTCTTGACTTTTATTTTTCTTTTCAACGATTGTTTGTTTTCATTTGTTGGATTTTAAATCACATTTTTTGCGTTTTTTCGTTCCCTTAATTTGTTCAATATTTCTTTCGTTTTTATAATTCTTCAAATTTTCAGTCTTTGATTTTTTGATTTTTCAATTCCTCGATTTTCCAGTTTTTCAATTTTGCAATTTCTAGATTTCTCAATTAACCAATTTTCCGATTTTTTTTTAATTTTCAATATCCCGATTTTGCAATATTTCGTTTTTTCGTTTTTACAATTTTGCAATTTTTCCATTTTTTTTATTTGAAAAGTTGAAAAATTGCAAATCGAAGAACTGGAGAAACGAAAAATCCAAAAATTGAAAAACTAAAAATTCAGAAAATCGAAAAAATTAATGAATCGAAAAATTGGAAAGAAGAAAAAACGAGTTTAGTCGAAAAATTTGCAAACCCAAAAATTGCACAATTGAAAAATTATAGAATCGTCAAAATTATAAAGTCGAAAAACTGTTAACAAAGAAATCGATCGAAAAATTGAAAATTTGAAAAATCGAATGATCTTTTTTTTAAATCCCATAAACGAAAAATTAAAAAATTCTAAAATCGGAAAATGGAAAAAGTGGAAATTTTTAAAAATTATAATTATTATACGTATTTAAAATCAAAACTAGAAAAATTGTGAATCAAAAATTGAAGAAACAAAAAATTATAAAACTGAAACAATGAAGAATCGAAGAACAGAAAACAATTAAAAAATTACAAAACCGAAACGAAAAACTGCAAAGTTGAGAAACTCAAATCGGAAAATTGCAAAGTCCAAAAATTCAAAAATTCGAAAGTTGGAAAATTAAAAAACTGAAAAAATTGAACTTGAAACCTCGAAAAATTGCAAATCGAAAAACTAAAAAACCAAAAAAAAAAAGGAAAAATTGAAGAAAGAACTGGAGAAACGAAAAATTCAAAAATTGAAAATCTAAAAATTCAGAAAATCGAAAAAATTAATAAACTGAAAAATTGGAAAGACGAAAAAACGAGTTTATTCGAAAAATTAGCAAACCCAAAAATTGTACAATTGAAAAATTGTAGAATCGTCAAAATTGTAAAGTAGAAAAACTGTTAACATTTAAAACCATCGAAAAATTGAAAATTTGAAAAATCGAATACTTGAAAGTTTTTTAAATCCAATAATTGAAAAATTAAAAAATTCTAAAATCGAAAAATGGAAAAAGTGAAAATTTTTAAAAATTATAATTATACATATTTAAAATCAAAACTGGAAAAATTGTGAATCAAAAATTGAAGAAACAAAAAATTATAAAACTGAAATAATGAAGAATCGAAGAACTGAAAAAAAATAAAAAATTACAAAACCGAAAAGAAAAACTGCAAACTTGAAAAACTCAAATCGGAAAATTATAAAATCTAAAAATTCGAAAGTTGGAAAATTAAAAAACTGAAAAGATCAAACTTGAAAACTCGAAAAATTGCAAATCGAAAAACTAAAGAACCAAAAAAAAGGAAAAATTGAAGAAAGAACTGGAGAAACGAAAAATCGAAAAACTAAAAATTCAGAAAATCGAAAAAATTAATGAATCGATAAACTGGAAAGAAGAAAAAACGTGTTTAATCGGAAAATTAGCAAACCCAAAAATTGTACAATTGAAAAATTATAAAATCGTCTCAGTTGTAAAATCGAAAAACTGTAACACTCAAAAATCGAAAAATTGAATAAATGAAAAAATTTTAAAATCCAATAATTGAAAAATGGAATAAATGAAATCATTGAAAAAAAAAAGAAATTAAAAAACCGAAACGAAATACTGCAAACTTGAGAAACTCAAATCGGAAAATTAAAGAACTGAAAAAACCAAAAAAGCTGCAGGGGTGTTTTTCCACCACTGACTTTTGCTTTATAACGGTTATCAGAAAACGAATCGCAATTTTTTTATAATCATTCAAAGATTCGGCTGCATTTCAGAGGTGAGAGAAGTTCTGAATTTTTTAACAGTAGAAACCTTAGCGAAAAACGTATGTGTTTTATTAATACGTAATGTCTATAATTAACATTTCCGCTATGTCAACTCTTATCGATCAAATTTTAGGTTTATTGTAAACATACTTCACAATGTTTAGAAAAAGTCAAAGCCAACTTGATGACTTTTTTAATTGAAAACCCAATATCTTTACTAGGCTGTTATATTTTACTCGTCGTTACTTACTATTCGAATTACAAGTATCACAACGAACGTGGGAGTAATTGTGAAACATTTTACAGTTGATGGTTATGCACAATAGTATTGACTTTAGAAAAAAAATCGTACACAACAAAAATTAATGTCTTTTTCACCTATACAGGCATTACATATTTTCACGTGCCTAGTAGCTTTGAAAGTTTTTATAATTCCTATACATTGGTGCCACAGTCAACTGGTTCAACAAAGTTACTTTCTTCTATTATTCAGGAGACAAACACGAATCCTAGGTAAACCCTAATTTAGATTATTTTGGAATCAATATAGTGTTGAATACAGTATGCAAATCAAAACACAATATATATTTAAGTTGATGTAGATTTAGTAGGTGTCACCCTTTGATCCATTTAACCCGTTAATTTCATTATGACAAACTAACAATAACATTATCATCAGTAACTTACTTCGGGTATTAATTTCGCCAAACTGAAGGAGGACTGCATATGACAAAAATTATAACACTGTAGTAATTTTATAAATAATTATAGTTGTTGTTTCAACGTACATAGACACCAACGCTAAAATAAAAAAAATCTTCCAATTAGCACAGTTAAAAGTTATTTCCGATTACTCGATCTCATACAACAGTTCTTAGTCTGCGAATTTTACCAAATTGTGAAAGTTTCACATCCCGAATCGATCGGATATTGCTATGACATCGAGTGCAATTATAACCCCACTTTTATCTATGATTGACTTATAAACAACAGAAAATTGTATTTTCGTTCTGTTGGTCTGGAAACTTTTGTTCCATTTTCACTAACGTATTTGTTTTAGTGCTGCTTTTAAATTGTTGGGTTAATTGAAACTCGTAAATAGAATTAACAAAACGACGCCTTCAATGAGCACGTTTAGATCCTTTGATTTTATAGCAGTTGTTTGTACCTTCTTTTTCGTCTGACTATTACATTTGCATTCATCTAGATAAACATTTGCGACTGTTGTGCATGTGTGGTGACGTATTGCAACAAATGTAATGATATTACAGACCAGGATTTTAATAGTCTATTTGATTTTCTCTTAATTGTGCGATTCAAATGCATGCACTAATTTGCCAGTAATTCTGCAGCCGTATTTATAACAACTAGTGCACACAATGTGATCAAATCGAGTTTACGAAAATGCCGCACTGGAAGTACCTCTTTCCACAAACCAATCGATAATTAATTATAACACATTGTATGTTATTATGTTCGCAAAATGATTAACATGGGCGTCAGCATGTTTTACATGCACTGGAAACTAATACATTATTTACATTATATTGAAAATCAATAACGTTAAGTTAAAACTCCAAGCTGTCCAGAACGCAAAGCCGTGTAAATTATCTCTCCGAAAAGCTTTTTCCACTTTGACGTGAGAATAAATCAACTCGTTAAAATTCATTAGTACATTGAACTATCACATTAAAAAATGGGAACTAATTACTCGGTCTGCTTATAGAGAGTTCTCAGACCAAACAATCGCTGTTATTATCAAAAAATGTGCAAAATACATCTGAATCACTTACCGAAAAGCCTTCGACACCTTCACCCACTTGTTCTATCTCCCCTGCACACTCAAAACCAAGAATGAATGGGCATTTTGGTGGTGAATCAATGGCTCCTTGACGCACCATCAAGTCTTGGAAGTTGAGACCGCTGAAACGAAAATAATAGATTCCATTATAATGGTTAAAGTTCATCAAACTTTAGATTGCGCGAAACGGATTCAATTAAAACTAGAAATAAATAAAAACGAAGCGTTATGGACCATTTGGCGTATTATCAAGAACGAGCGTTATGAAATCTAATTTACAGACAAATTCCAGTGCATTTACTGCAATCTTCCACATTTCCGACTGTTATGAAAATAATCTATTTTTCATTTGGAGAGCGCCCGGCTGCAACTGAGCTGCACTATGGTATATGTAATCAAAGTATATTATGGAGCAAACAACATAGTACATAAATGTAGCATACTAGTTACAGCAACTGCATTCAGTAACGATTACGAATAAATGCAATTTTTTACAATTTTTGTTGCGTCAAAACCGTTGTATGGAATAACATGATAAATATTGCTGCATGATACAGCTGCATGCGCAAAATATACCGTTGATTATACATAGATCATAAATAGAAATTAAATCCGCAATGCCTTGTTATTATTTATTTTTGAATACAGTAAAATAATAGTAAGTGATTTCTTTCTATTGGTAAAAATATTGGTACATGTAACGGATAATAATCAGTGGTCTTTTTGTGATGCTTGATTGTCGAGCGCCAACTAGACGACGATTTTTATGTCACACCGTACTCTAGTAGTGTATTATGTGTACACAGGGTGGTGATAAAGGAACGTACGAAACGCACTAATGATAAATATGTACTTCCACAAAGATAACTACAAGATGTAAAAACGGCGTCATGAGACATATTGGAGGGTTCATTTTCCATGAATTAGACTACTTATTTCTGATATAACGGCGACGATATGATATCTTCCAACAATTTTAAAAGTGGGGTCATATCATTTCTCTGTTACCAATTTTAACTTTCAAATCTTACGTATCGTTCAGATTTTCGTATTTGCAGCATCATTGCAAACAAAATTCTCTTTAAAATATGTTTAGTAACATCAAAATATTTTTAAGCACTGCCAACAACATTATTTTAAAAATAAATTTCATGCCTTACTAGACGATTTTTTTTATCGTATAGTATCACTGTAGATAGGTACACGGTAATACTAATAATTACTGTATTTCCAAGTTTTTGAGAAAATAGGGTGAACCGTTCTTGATTTGATTAATAAAATAAACTGCCTGATTCATTAATTTCTTTGAGTCACCCTGTAAAGCAATTCTAAAAAATATAAATGCATTGATAAACCACAAATTTGCATTTTTAGTAGAATTTATCAAAATTTTTGCACAATTTATCCAGTCTAGCACAATTTTGAGATGATGTCATCATATTATTGAAGGGGATGATCAGACAAATTTTTGTTGTGTTTGACCATCTGCGCGATATTCTTAAAATATATATAAACTTCACATCAATCATGTCAGTAGTTTCGGTGATTGTATAATAAAATCGGCAACAGACCATGGACGACAGACGACAGAGAGACAGACGGAAACGAGAGACCACTTTCTTATATTATAGGGGTTGTGAAACGCCGAGAAATCAAGAAAGTAGCCAAATGGATTCTATTATATTTACAATACTTTCCTAACTTACGCTCCTAATTTCCAAACGTAGTGTAGCAGGGTTATTTTGGTTAAATTTTTATTTCCTGTTTTCTTGACATTCCCCAGTTTATCGAGTACGAAAATGTCGAGTTTTATGCCCGCGCAAGGCGACAGTTGATGGAATCACAAATTGTTTCAAATATAATAAAACAAATATTTTCCGAAACTATTAAACTGTGAATTTTTGAATGTATTTTGAATCTATTGTATAAATGGTAAAACTCTAGCCATTTTTTTTCTGTTATCCTCACCAAGAATCGCATAATCTCATTGTAAAATTTTGCTTAGAATTTATATTGTGATTTCAAAACTTTTTGTGGTTAGTATTTTTAAAATCTTGTCTATTTAAAACTGTGTAATATTGATTTGCACCGATGTTAAAAATTAGTGTGTATAAACTTCTATCGCATTTTTCTTTGTGTACACAAAAATTTCATGTGTTTTTGTTGCAGTGGGTTCGTAAATAAGAAGAATGGATTCGCTAAACTGTGGCAGAAGAAGAAGAAGCCTGAAATTTACAATTTTGCACTAATTTTAAATTGGGTATTGTTTTTATTTTAAACATTTTTACTTCTTGAGCGTAAGCTAAATAAATCTGACGAACTGCTACTTTCACATTTTCTCGACGTTTAATGACCCCTAGAGCAGAAAAAAAGTAATCTCCCGTTTCCGTCTGTCTGTCTATCTCTCTGTCTGGCGTCTGTATCCATTTTTATTAGACAAGTAATCTCCGAAATTACTGGACGGATTGTTGCCAAATTTTGAACGCATATTAGGAATATCAAGTAGATGGTAAAACACTAACCAAAATTTTTCTAATCATCCCCACCAACAACGTCATGACAACCCCTCAAAATGTTTCATAGTAAGTAGGGTTTCAATTTTATAAAATAATTTACTCCTGTACTTGTTCATTATGAATCCGTCTTCAGATTTTTCCCAGAGTATTCAAATTTTTGCAAAAAAAATCGAAATTATACCGCAAAAGAAAGAACACTACAACAGTGCCTAGTAAAATTTTACAACTGCTACTTTGAGAAATTGTTGGACAATGCAAGGGGATAATGACGCCAATAAAAAGAGAAGGGTTGCATTGAATTTGTGGTTTATGGTTTTGTGTCCAACCTTCATGGTTAACTTTGAAACACCAATGAAATTTTACTAGGTACTGTTGTAGCGTTCTTTCTACATAAGCGAAGAGCTTTGAAGGTTGGTGTTTCAAACATGTAACGCGAAAATTGTTTACGCTTCGAATATCGCATAGAATTTTTTGTTTTATGTTATTACTGCTATTATCTATTTATTAATTTTTTTTGTTGATCAAATCTCAAGAACAGTACACTCCAGTGTTTTATTATTAATATTACACAGCACGTCGGAATAGGCCGACGTGTCCTTGCTGAAATAATGTTAATCGAAACATTCTCAAATGGGAAAACTCCCTATACAGGCCCAATTGTGTATCAAAATGTGTTAAAATTCAAAGGTTGTTAAAAATAAACAGCCAATCAGATTTACGAATTTAACTCGTTACTGTGGAAATAAATTTGCAATAAGGAATTGCATCTATAGACTCTACCTTCATCAACGCGTTCATATTTTGGGGCAATTGTTCGTTTCCTGTCTTGGTCACTTTAGACGAAATATACACAAGTGTGTTTGTGTAACATAATGAGCTCGAATGCGAAGTGGCAGGGTATGGGTAATTAAAGTATAATACATCAATCAATTCAGAAAAACAAGTTCTACAAAAATCTGAAAAAAAATGAATAGAGTATCATTAAAAAAAAGTTGGGAATCTTGGACAAAAAAAAATTCTAGAATGTCAAAACACATTTATAGGATGTCATTTGCTTTTTACACTATTACTGCTATTACTTATCTATTATATTTGTTTTAATGTATACAGGTTGTCATAAATAAATGTTCGGAAAATCAGTTTTTTTATTTTTCAAAGTAACGGCATTTGTTGGGCTATACTTCAGCGAAATAAACTTCTACCAATTTTTAATGAATGTGAAACCTTCTCGGGAGCACCAGATGTATTTTTTTAAGAATGTGAAACCCTCTTGGGAGACCCAAATGTCTTTTTTTCAATATGTAAAACCTTCTCGGGGGACCAAATGTATTTTTTCAAGAATGTGAAACATTTTCGGGGGTCCCAAATGTCTTTTTTAAAAATGAAAAACCTTACCAAGGGCCCAAATGCCTTTTTTTTTAATGTGGAACCTTCATGGGGGTCCCAATTGTTTTTTTAAAGTGTAAAACCTTCTCGGGGGGCCCAAATGGTTTTTTTTAGAATGTGAAATCCTCTTTAAAAAAATAGATTTTGTTATAACGTCTATAAAGTAAAAACCAGCGGTGTAAATAACACCCACGCAGCCCCTGCGCCGTAGGGATGCAAATTGTGAGGGATTGTGCAAATTGCACAAGTACGGACAACGTAGAATACATATGCTAAAGCAGATAACCAACGGAAAAAATGGCCTCTCAGCATTAATAAACTTTAGCTTCGAGTGTTTGTTTATACACGTAGCCCCAAAACAGAAGACTAAAATTATTAATGAAGCCATAAACGGGAGACTACTTTTTTCGTACGCTAGGTGTCATGAAACATCGAGAACGCTAGAAAGTACAACTTAAGTTTGTGAAAAGACAAGTATCCTGCATACAAATAAATTTGAAGTTTTTATATTACACTAGTATTGATGCTGACTGTGGAACATCGATTAAAATTAATTTTTTATTATAGTTTTATTATTCTATTATTGTTCTAGAAACACAAGTGTTCGGAAATCTTATAATGTCAAGGCCGGGGAGCTTAAACCATGTGGATGCGTTCATTTTCCAAATAAAAGGGCACCTTAACATGTTAATGTTTTATTCAAACTAAAATGTTTATGAAAAATTGATAAACAAATCTTTACTGAACATGCAAGCAAAACTGATTGTACTTCAGAAACAAAGAAACCTCTCTCTGAATAACTTTAGGTGGATGTTTTACAGTAGCGCTCTTTCAACTCTTCAAACACAAATATTTGAAGTAATACAAGCCACAACACACATGATTAGAAACCGCAACGAAATACGAGTAAGTACTTCCGAAAGTCGGCGGCAAAAAGTAACTTGGAGTCCTCTTCAAAATGTCTCTTTAACATTGAGAGGTTTCGTCAATTTATAAGAAGGTTGAAAATCGAAACCACATATCCGGATTAACCGCTCGTTCAGCGTAAGTGACTGTGCAAAAAAAATCCCCAAAGCTCTCCAAATACAATCCGGACCCCTTTCTTTATCAGCAGTGATTTATTTTGACGCTGAGTAACTCATAATACTAATCAGTAAAGCACTGCGGGGAACCCACACTAACAATAAAATTGGAAGGCGCCCAAATCTAACAAGTTGTCC